TGATCACTAGTTAGCTTGGGGCTTTGCTATTTTTACTGAAGGAAAGGCAGAGAGACAAGTGGCCAGGGGTTGAAAGGAAATTACTTACACAAGGAGGCTGCTAACTGAGGTGAGAGCCTAGGAAGAAGCCAGAAGGTGGCACAATTGGTTCAACATGCATCAATGGGTCTTTGAGAATTAAACTAAAAATTTTGGTCTGAACACTCAAAAGAACTTCCCAGACACATTTTGTTTTGATTTGTTGCAAAATCCAGAATTGTGACATTACCTGATGTCAGAAACCAATATGACAGGCCAAGAAGATCAAATTAAGAGAAGTTTCTCTATTTTTATTTTTTAACTTTTTATTGAAGTATAGTATTTACACTGAAATGTACACATATGTGTACTGTACAACTTTATGAGTTTTCATAAATAACACACCAACATTGCTGGGGTCCAATCCCAGCAGGTCCAGGGGTCCCCAAAGGTGTGGACAGAGTCGGCGAAGAAGGAACGACACGGAGACAGCGTTCAGTTGATCAGCAGCCTAGCCAGGATCTCTAGCCAGGTTCTGGTCAGGATCTCCAGCAAAGTTCTGGTTAGGATCTCCAGCCAGGTTCTGTGTCCATGTTCTCTTGCTAGGTTCTCCAGCCAGGTTCTCCAGGTTCTCCAGCCAGGTTCTGTAGCCATGTTCCCTCACTAGGTTCTCCAGCCAGGTTCTGTCCAGGTTCTCCAGCCAGGTTCAGTCACCAGGTTCTAGTCAGGTTCTCTTGCCATGTTCTATCCAGATTCTGTAGCCAGGTTCTGTCTCTAGGATCTTCAGCCAGGTTCTCTCGCTAGGTTCTGTCTCTAGGTTCTGTTGCCAGTTTCTGTCCAGGATCTTTTGCCATGTTCTCTCCAGCGAAGTTCTTCTGTCTCTAGGTTCTGTGTAGGTTCTGTGTCTAGGTTCTGTGTCTAGGTTCTGTGTCCTGTTGTCTTGTTACATCTGTATTTATACCAGTTGATTCCAATCCTATCAATCTCTATTCCAAAGGTTAGGGCGTTTCTTATCTCCATTGCGGGGAATAAAGATTATGTAGCTTAGGCATGATTGTTCATAGTTAAAGTGATTAATTACCCGCCTGGCACTTAGTTAAGGGGTTTTATTCCCTCCCTAACTTCAGGGGAAAATCCCTACCTTGGGAAACAATCTTTCTCAGAGAAGTGACCTTGGTTAAAACACATAGTGCCAAGAAGGTGAGCAAACATATTAAGAACAGTATGCCATATATGCCAGGTCCCTTGAAACAGCAAGGATGGACCGGCTCCCAGCACAACATAGCTAGCATCCAGGTAATGAAACAAAACACTACCAGCACCCTAGAATTCCCTCTTTAAACCCTTCCAATTGCTATCCCTGTCCACAAAAGGGCATCTACTATGGTGATTTCCATGATAGTTTACCTTTGCCGAGTTTTGTACTAAATATATTAAATATACTTTATTGTACCTGGCTCTTTATGTAACGTTCATCAATATTGTTGCATGTACATTGCAATTGTATATTGTTGATTCCCAGTGCTATATAGCACTTCAGTGAATGAATGTACCGCAGTTTACTTATCCATTATACTGTTGGTGGGCATCTAGATAGTTTCTAGTTTAAGGCTATTATTAACAGTGCTGCTATGAACACTCTAGTATAGATCTTTTGATGAACATATGTACATATTATAGTTGGATATACTCCCAGAAGTGGAATTACTAGGTCTCCAGGTTCCAGGGAAATGGAATTGCTGGGTCCACCTCAGTGAAATTTCCCGGAGTCCAGTGAAATGAGAGATATGCCTCCAAAGGTGAAAGATAAGTTGTTGCATCGGGCCCTTTATGCAACCAAAAAAGAGGCACAATGCCTAGGGGTCCTTTTTAGATTCTGGAGTCCACATATTCCTCATTTCAGTGTAGTTCTCTGGCCCATTTACCAAGTGACCTGAAAAGCTGCTGGTTTTGAGAGGATCTCAGAACAAGAGAAGGCTCTGCAACAGGTCCAGGCTACTGTGCAAGATGCTCTGCCACGTGTACCATATGATGCAGCCAATACAATTAACTGTACTTGAAGTTAAGTGGTGTATAGAGATGCTGTTTGGAGCCTGTTGAATCACAGCACAGGTTCTTAGGATTTTGGAGCAAAGCACTGCCATTCTCTGTGGATAACTACTCTCTCTTTTTGAGAAAAAGTATTTGGCTGTTATTGGGCATTAGTAGATACTGAATACTTAACTATAGGCCACCAAGCTATAACAGGAGCTGAGTTGCCCATCATGAATTGAGTGTTGTCTGGTGTACCATGCCATAAAGTTGGCTGTGAAGAGCAACACTCCATTATCAAATGCAAATGGTACATATGAGATTGGGCTGAGCAGGCCCTACAGGCATAAATAAGTTATATGAGGAAGTGGCCCAAATATCCACACTCCTGTTACATAACCTCTTTCTCAGCCTGCACTTATGGCATTATGGGGAGTTCTCTACAATCAGTTGACTGAGGAAAAGAAAAGACAGGCTTGGTTTACATTTGGTTCTACATGATATTCAAGTACCACCTGAAAATAGATAGCTATAGTACCTATAGCTCCTTCTTGGGGCAACACTGAAGGAAACAGGCAAAGAGATATCCTCCCAGTGGGACAGAACTTAGAACAGTGCACCTCATTTTTCACTTTGTTAGAATTATGTTCATGGACTATGGCCAATAGTTTGGCTGGATGGACAGGACTTGGAAGGGACATGACTAGAAAATTGATGACAACAAAATTTATGGAAGAGTCATGTGGATCGACTTCTCTGAATGGGCAAAAAAACATGAATATATGTGTCTTATGTGAATGCTCAACAGAGGATGAATTAAGCAGAGAATAATTTTAATAAATAAGCCAATGACTTGTTCTGTGGATACCAGTTAGCGTTTTGCTCCAGTGATTGCCCAATGACCACAATAGAAGTTATGCATGGGCTCAGCAACATGACCTTCTGCTCACCAAAGTCAGCCTGACTATACCCACTGCTGAGTATCCTATATCTGTCAGCAGCAGAAACCAATACCCCATCCCCCAAAAGGCACCTTTCCTTTGAGTGATCAACCAGCTACCTGGTGGCAGGTTGATTACACTGGACCACTTCCATCACGGAAGGGGCAACATATTATTCTTACTGGAATAGATACTTACTCTGGATGGTAATTTGCCTTCCCTGCATGCAAAACTTCTGACAAAACCTTCATCCAAGGTCTTACAGAATGCCTTATCTATCATCATGGCATCCCACAGAGCATTGCTTCTGATCAAGGGACTCATTTCAGAGCAAAAGAAGTGCAGCAGTAGGCCCATGTTCATGGAATTCACTGGTCTTACCACGTTCCCCACCATCCTGAAGCAGCTTGCTTAATAGAATGGGATTGTCTTTTGAAGACAGTTACAGCACTAGCGAGGCAGCAATACCTTGCAGGATTGGGGCAAGGTTCTCCAGAAGGCAGAAGGTATTGCTCTGGATCAGCATCCAATATACAGTGCTGTTTATCCCATAACCAGAATTCAAAGGTCCAAAAATTTAGGGGATGGAATTGGAAGTGGAACCATTCAATATTACCCCTGGTGACCAACTAGTAAAAGTTTTGCTTCTTGTTCCCATGACTTTATGCTTTATTGGTCTAGAGGCCTTAATTCCAAAGGAGGAAAGCTTTCACCAGAAGATACAACAATAATTCCATTGAACTGGGAGTAAAGACTGCCACTGGCCACTTTAGGCTTCTCATGCCTCTGGGTCAACAAGTAAAGAAGAAAGTTCCTGTACTGGTTGGGGTGATTGATCCTGAATACCATGGGCAAATTGGACTACTACTCCACAATGGAAGAGTATGTCTGCAATACAGAAGATCCCTTAGGACATGCCTTAGTATTATCATGCCCTGTGATTCAGGTCAATGGAAAACTACAACCCATCCAAGCATGACTAGATCCTTCAAAAATAAGATTGTATGTCACCCCCCACCAGTTAAAGAACCATAACCAGCTAAGGTACTTATTGAGGGCAGAGGGAATATGGAATGGGTAATGGAGAAAGGTAGTTATAAATACCAGTTACGGCCACATGACTAAGCAAATATTTTTGTTTCCTTCCCTCTCTTATACTCTATCATCCTATATAAGATGTATTAATAATAGTTAGCCTCATAATACAGTACTTGAGTTACAGAATACCAAGGAGAAGAACATCACCCAAGGACTCTGAATCCTGTTCTGGGGAAGCAGTTAGCACATTTTTGGTTGTATGTAGGACAGTCACATTATGTTAGGACACAGAAGTATGACTTTGTGACTGTTTTTATTTGGATATTAAATATGATTTAAGGGGATGTGTATGAATGTGTAGTTGACACAGAGTGGACTGAGATGGTTAGTTGTAGTTTCAACTTGGCTAGGCTATCTACCCAATTATATTAAATACTAATCTAATTTAGGAGCTGGTGTTGCTGCAAAGGTATTTTGTATATGTGATTAACACCTGTAATAACTGACTTTAAATAAAGGAGATTATCCTTGATAATGTGTATGGGCCTCATCCAAACAGTTGAAAAGCCTTAAGAGCAAAACTGAGGTTTTTCTAAGGAAGAAGAAATTCCTCCTGAGGACTGCATCAACATCAGCTCCTGCCCAAGTTTCCAGCCTGCCCTACAGTTTTTACCATACCTTATAATTGCACTAAGTCAAATCCTTGAAGTGTGTATTTACATCCTATTAGTTCTGTTTCTTTGGTAGAACCCTGACTGGTATGACATCTACTATTCCTTACCACTATGCTATTATCAGAGATAGAAACAGAAGTCTATTATGTGGTCTCTGTCCTTGAAAACTTCATAACCTAAAAAACATAAAAAGTTAGCATATAAATTATGTCAGGGAGTAGTAAATTATTAAGTGTCAAATGAGTAGCACTGAATTAAGTATTCAAGGAACTTAGAAAAGAAAAATATCTCTGTGGATTTAGGGAGTGCTCAGGACAGGCTCTGAGGAAGAAATTGGGACAAGGATATGCAGTGAGGGAAGTACAAAAAAATCTAAACTTGGAGTTTAGATGGAAAGATTGAACTCCTTTCTACCACTTGGTAGGAATATGATCTTGGACAAATTGCATACTACTTTAAGCCTCAGATTCTTAATATATAAAGTGAGGATAATAGCACACATCCTGTCTATCATAAAGTCATAGTGAGAAATAAACGAGATATAATAAGATGCTTAGCTCAATGCCTGTCACAGAAAACCTGCTCAACCACTATCTCAATATCTTTAAAAAGAATGCTACTAAAAATAAGACCCAACAACACTAAATTTTAAATAGTTATAAGAGGAATCATCTTAAATACATTTTAATTCTATGGCATTAGCTAATTTTTCAAAAGATGAAGTATTTGACTTTCAAAAAAAATATTTTAATGAGGTTCTGAAACCTGACCAAACTTACTATTAAAATTTTACTATTTCCCCTTGTGCAAGAACTCTCAGAATGCAATTTATAACTGAACTTCCCATGTATATAAGGAATTTACAATGAAAATGTGTTTTATAGCTTTTTAAAAGTAGTTTCTGCAGTACCTTGAGGAATATCTTTAGGAAGAGAATATGTCTTCTTCTTTACAATAACACCTTTACTTTTCACTTGTCTAGTGCCTGGTGATGCTCTAATAATACAACATATTTCTGATGTATTTAAAGGAACCTGAAAAAGAAAAACAGACATTGCATAATTCTTCCAGATACTATATTTATGTTATTTTATTTCAAAGGCAAATAATCTTAATAAACATATTTCATAAATATTAATAAAAGCACTTATGAAATGCTTATCCACTCTGGACACAGATTGGTTTTAAAACATTTGCTTATTTAATATTCACAAGAACCAGGGAAGGCACATTATATTATCCCCATTTGTAAAATGAGGAAACTTAGATTTCAAGAGGTTGGATAACTTATTTAACGACTGAGAGAAAATCATGATAGAGTTGAGATTCAAGCACTCCAAAGTGAGAGAGAGTGTTTACATGATTTACTGAATTAAAACACTGTTTATATTTAACTTGTGCACATAGTCAGTGCCTAGATGGCATAGGTGAGGGGCTTGACACAGGACTGGAGGCAGAAGGGGATCTTTGTGTGGCCCACGGATGCCACTCTCTGACAAATCACTGCCGCTGACCATCCATAGTACACAGGGAGACGTTCCACAGGTCTGGATGGACTTAGCCAGCTGAGGGATGTAGGCTGCCACTTTCTCTCCAGTGAACTCTCTGGCATCCTCAAAGATGCGATCCACATGGCAGGTGAACTCCTCAAAATCAGAAATGACAAACTTCTTTCAGAATGCCTGGGTCAGGAGCACAATGTTGCTGCTCACACACTTTTGGAAGAGATCTCGGTCCAAGAGGCCACCACTGTTGGACTCTAGAACCATGGGGCACATCTGGCTCATGCAATCCCAGAGCCAGGGGTCTGATGTCTGCAGTCCAGTAGCCTTCAGTGCAGTAGTGAACTTGTGGACAGGGATTCGCTCCTGTCCCTCAGCAACAGTGTAGAAGAGCAGATCACCCAAGCTGGACAGCATGCCACTCTCTGACGAATCACTGTCCCGCAAGCCTTACTAATCCTAGTGCTGCAGCTGGTGGCTACGCATCATCTCCCTGCCCTGCGCTGCGGCCTCACGGAGATGGTGCCAGATGCCCTGACAAGGTGGGGGCTCTGGCTCAGATGATCCCTGCTCAGCGCATTCTGCAGAGCCTTCATAGAGTGCATCCCCCCAGCATGTCACCCGTTCCGACAGAGCACCCAGGGCATCTCTATTTCATTTATATCTGCTCTGTTCTTTGTTATTATCCCTCTAATTGCCTCTAGTCTCAGCCTTTTACAATCTGTTCTCTGCCTCTGGATCCAGAATAAACTTTATACAAGAACATTTGATATCATTTCCTTTTCATAATCCTTTATTGGCTCCCCTCAGGAAAAAAAAAATCCAAAAATTTTAATGTATATTACAAGATCCATTACTCTCTTGGCCCTGGTTTATCTTTACAAACTCATCTCTAGTTTTCCCCTCATCACCTGGATCCCCACTCTCACCCCAGGGTGAGACTGAGAGGTCTGGCTACACTGAACCACTACACAACCCTAAAGTTTTCCCTCTTTATTTCTTTTTCTCTCTGCCTCTGTTCCGTCCTATTGTTTTTCTCTCTGTATCTCTTCCTCTTTTCTCTGGCTCTTTCTCTCTCCACCTCTCTCTTTTTCTATTCATCCCCTCTCTCTACTCCCACCCGCACCCCCTGGCTCTTAGAAAAATGAGTTTAATGTATTTATTAACAAAGCATAGTACTTTCAAATAACATAATGAAGTTGGTGACCACAATTTATATGTAAAGACAAAAGCTGAGTTTTGGATCAAAGTAGATTAATATTGTTTCTTCTGGTTGTTTAATACCCCTTGGTCCTGAGGACACAAAATGTTTTGGCTGTGGCAGCCTAATATCCTTTCTTTGGAATTGTAACTGAAAACTTACTCCACATGTACTTGATATTAACCTTAACTGAGTTACAGATTTTTTAAAGTCTCATAAACAAAGTATCTAATATAACAGTAAGTATTTCTTTTGGTATTTGAAGGAGAAATTGAAATACTACCTCATTTGAAGAATTTTCCTGGGAACTTGACACAGGAACAATTTCATCTGAATTAACACAGCTGCTGACATTTGGAAATAGTTCGTCCAAAGATGATTTTTGTACTGAGGACAGATCAATCTATAAAAGAATATATTACTCTCTTGTAGAAGTTAAATGTTGCAAAACCAGTTATTTTTAAATAATTAAAGGAAAATTGAAACATACTGTTTCATTAGAAGCTTTGTGATATAGAACTTGACATATGAACAATCTTATCTGAGTTAATATAACTGCTGACAGTTTGGAAATAGTTCTCCAAAAGATGCATGCTCAACTGGGGAGAAATAAATTTATAAAGAAGATTATAATACTCTTTAGCTTTCAAGTTATTTAAATAGGTATTTTATTAGCTTCAATATCGTGTAATTTTTTTCTTATTCTTCACCCAATTAATATTCATAAGGGACCTATTAATTGAAATCTATCTACCCTTTCTGTGAGCCAAAAGACTGAGATAGACAGTCAAAGAAACAGTCAGAGACAGAAAAGGACAGATAGAGAGAGAAATCAAGACAGGTTGGTGCTACAGCATTCTAATCTTCCTTACTTTATGTATAGCAATATATAGAATACTTCCAGTGAAAGTATGCTTGTGCAACGGCAAAATAAAAATACTATTGTCTGTGTGCAATATCCCCCTGGGGTGACAGAAACAGAATAAAGGTGGAGCAAGAAAATAGATTCTACATGTGCAAATACTAATACTTACCTCTAAACCAGCTGTTTGCGAAGTCGGAGTACTTGTTAACAGGCCTCTGCTTTTCTTATCAAGAATAGTGGGGTTTGTGTTCTATCAATGTTTTGTGAAATAGGGGATTGAATAGCAGGAAGAAATAAACTACTTTAATACTGTAAAAATGCAATTTAAAATTAGTAGAATAAATCATAATATATTATACTAATAAAAATTTAATCTGCTAATTATATTTTTAAACCATTAGACAGGTAACTAAAGAATTTTCTGGCTTGAGCTAGGTCAAACAACTCCCAAAAAAACTTTATGTGGTGCAACAAGTATTTGAGAATACTTTGGTTGAAATCACTACTAATTTAGGAAGAAAAACTAATTAAAGTTTTCAATTATGAAATGGTGCTTTGATTATCTTTGTTAACTCCTAAGAAAGATATTTTACTTATAGCATTTGTTTAATTCCTATTATATACTGGAATTTATGGAAAGGGATTATAAATTATTTCTGAAGCTGTTAAAACATGTAGCAAGGATACTTGATTTAAAATACACACATTTGAATGCATATAGATACTTTCATTTATGGAACATCAAAGTTAAAGAAAGTACAAAGTAGAATACAGACTAATTTTCTATTTCTTTTTTTTCATTTTCTATTTCTTGAAGATGCAGAGGCAAAGAGACAAATTAAGAGTGAGAGACAGAGAAGAGAAGGAAACAGGATTAGAGGCTAAAGAGTTTAAGAAAGAGAGGAAAGGACTGTTAGAAGGATAGAGAGAGAGGGGAGGAAGGAAAGAAAAAAGAGAGAAAAGAGAGGAGGAGGGAAGGAAGAAGGGGGAATTAAGAGGTGGGGAGGAGAGAAGAAGAGATAGAAAGGATGGGGAGATAAAAGACAGAGAGAAAGAAAAATAAAGGCAGATTAAGAGGAGAGAGGGGGGAGAAGAACGGCAGATAAGACAGAGAACAGAGACTGAGCAGAAAAGCTGAGATTGACAGTAAAAGAAAGGGTCAGAGACAGAAAAGAACACATACAGAGAGATCAAAACAGGACTGAAAGGAAAGAGAGACAGAGCTTGAGAGTGAGACAAAACCAGGGGAGCAAAGACAAAGAAACAGTGATAGAGTCAAAAAGAGAGAAGATAGGAAGCTTCCTTTCTAGCCATCAACTGCCTTTCAATTCTTAGATTCCATGAAACAACCATTTCCCTCAGATAAATGTCTAAATAGGTGTCTATTATATGCTGCCAAGTCTGGAACACAAACTCAGAGTTAAAACTTGAACAGTTTATTAGATTTATTTTTCCTTTATTTCCTCTTTGCTATCTTTCAGGATTAAAAATCTCTGAAACTGCCAGCATGGCTCAGTGGTTAGAGTGTTGGCCCATGCATTGGAAGGTTTTGGATTTGATTCCAGTAAAGGGCATATACCTGGGTTGCAGGTTTAATCCCCAGGCCCAGTCAGGGTGGGAGCAGGAGGCAACCAATCGATGTGTCTCTCTCACATCGATGCTTCTCTCTCACTTATCCCCTGCCCCCTCCCTTCTACTCTCTCTAAAAATCAGTGGAAAAAATATCCTTGAGAGAGGGCTAACAGGGGGGAAAAAATAACACTCTGAAAATAGTTGTTTGTTCAAGATATAATCTGGAATAGTTCATTAGAAAATTTTTTTTATCAAAATAATAAAAACAAGCCCAGCTGGTGTTGTTCAGTGATTGAACGTTGACCCATGAACCAGGAGGTCATGGTTCGATTTCTGGTCAGGGCACATGCCCAGGTTTCAGGCTTGATCCCCAGTAGGGGGCGTACAGGAGGCAGCCAATCAATGATTCTCATCATTCATGTTTCTATCTCCCTCTCCCTCTTCCTTCCTCTTTGAAATTAATAAAAAAAATAATATACATATATGTATATAAATGTTTAAAAAATAATAAGAACAAAAATGTTATGAGCATATTTACCTGGTACACTGAATATGACAGCTCTCTAATTTATTAGCTATATAATCTTTTAATTTCTTCATCTGAACAATAATGATTATCTACCCCTAGGGACTACCGTGCAAAGGTTACAAATAAAACATGTATAGAGAACCTCTGGTGCTTGGAGAGTAGGAGATACTCAGTGATAGCTGTTATTACTATTACTGTGGCAGCCATGCAGGTGCTCTGTTCAGACCTTGAACAAAGAACCTGCTGGTCCACTGCAAGGAGTGCAGCTAGCTCTCAGTCCACTGCAAGGAGTGCAGCTGGCTCTCAGTCCACTGCAAAGGGGTGCAGCTGGCTCTCAGTCCACTGCAAGGAGTGCAGCTGGCTCTCAGTCCACTGCAAAGGGGTGCAGCTGGCTCTCAGTCCACTGCAAGGAATGCAGCTGGCTCTCAGTCCACTGCAAAGGGGTGCAGCTGGCTCTCAGTCCACTGCAAGGAGTGCAGCTGGCTCTCAGTCCACTGCAAGGAGTGCAGCTGGCTCTCAGTCCACTGCAAGGAGTGCAGCTGGCTCTCAGTCCACTGCAAGGAGTGCAGCTGGCTCTCAGTCCACTGCAAGGAGTGCAGCTGGCTCTCAGTCCACTGCAAGGAGTGCAGCTGGCTCTCAGTCCACTGCAAGGAGTGCAGCTAGCTCTTAGGCCACTGCAAGGAGTGCAGCTAGCTCTCAGTCCACTGCAAGGGGTGCAGCTAGCTCTTAGGCCACTGCAAGGCGTGCAGCTAGCTCTCAGTCCACTGCAAGGGGTGCAGCTAGCTCTCAGGCCACTGCAAGGGGTGCAGCTAGCTCTTAGGCCACTGCAAGGGGTGCAGCTAGCTCTCAGTCCACTGCAAGGGGTGCAGCTAGCTCTTAGGCCACTGCAAGGAGTGCAGCTGGCTCTCAGTCCACTGCAAAGGGTGCAGCTAGCTCTTAGGCCACTGCAAGGGGTGCAGCTAGCTCTCAGTCCACTGCAAGGGGTGCAGTTAGCTCTTAGTCCCCAGCGATCTGCTTCAGTTTTTGGGCTGAGGCCATTATCTTTTTTTTAAAATTTTTTAAATATATTTTATTGATTTTTTTACAGAGAGGAAGGAAGAGGAATAGAGAGTTAGAAACATCGATGAGAGAGAAGCACCGATCAGCTGCCTCCTGCACACCTCCTACTGGGGATATGCCTGCAACCAAGGTACATGCCCTTGACTGGAATCGAACCTGGGACCTTTCAGTCCACAGGCCGACGCTCTATCCACTGAGCCAAACCGGTCAGGGCCATTATCTTTTCAGACAAACCTCAGCCAACGTCTGAGCACAAAACCCCAACATAGGATTCCTATAACGGCAATCTTTGCTCCAGACCTCTCCACTGGGAGAGCTTCTGTCAGATCTGCAGTGAAGACTGAGGCTCTCTTCCTTGGTACTGCCACGGAGGTGGCAGCCATTTCCTACTCAGCACCATGGCTGCCCTTAGGCCCTTGTGAAACCCAAGATCACCAAAAAGAGGACCAAGAAGTTCATCCGGCACCAGTCATACTGATATGTCAAAATTAAGCATAATTGATGGAAAACTAGAAGCATTGACAATAGGGTGCAGAGAAGATTCAAGGGCCCGATCTTGATGCCCTTGGTTATGGGAGCAACAAGAAAACAAAGTACATGCTGCCAAGTGGCTTCCTGGTCCACCACATCAAGGAGCTTGAAGTGTTGCTGATGTGCAACAAATCTCACTGTGCTGAGACTGCTCACAGCATCTACTCTAAGAACCGCTAAGCTACTGTGGAGAGCAGCCCAGCTAGCCATCAGAGTCACCAATCTAATGCCAGGCTGTGCACTGAAGAAAATGAATAGACAGATTGTGTGCACATTGTATTTGTGTTAATAAAACCATGACATTCTGGCATTAAAAAAGAGACTGAGGCTACTCCTGCCCAATCCTGCTTCCTTGCTGCTTTCATTTCTCATGTATTACCTGCTCCAATACACCATATGAACTCTTAATTCTGTCTGAATATTTTTGTACCAAGTGACATAATTGTCAACTATCAATCCAATTACAAAACATTTACCTGTATACAGCTTTAAATATAGCACCTCTGCATTTCCCCCTAGATTTGTTAAGAAATTATGCATATCTAAATCCCAATAAGTACATTTTCTTTTCATAGTTTTTTCAGGAAATAGTAAAAGACTAGTGCTTACCAATGCAGGTTCCAGCGGCTGAGACAGCAGAACTCTGGTAACTGATTTACCACCTGCATGGCTTTCAAGAACAGACCTCTGTTGAGATGATGGAACCTTGATTTTTAGAAGAGAGCTTAACTTTGTTTGAAAATTTGTGTCTCTAGGTTCAGGATCTTTTCCAGGCTGAAACAAATTCATAATCATGAAATACCATCCACAGGCTATAAAAAAATGTGTAGCACTTCTCAGATGTCTTATTTTTGTTGTAAGCTATAATAATAAAAGTGTAATATGCTAATTAGACTGGAAAGCCAAATGGCCTTCTGGACATCCTTCCGGACGAAGCCGCAGTGGTTAGGGGCAATCAGGTAGGCAGGAAAGCAGTTAGGGGTGATCAGGCAGGCTGGTGAGTGGTTAGGGGCGATCAGGCAGGAATGCAGGAGAGTGGTTAGGAGCTAGCAGTCCTGGATTGGGAGAGGGATGTCCGACTGTCAGTTTAGGCCCAATCCCACAGCAGGGACTGCCAGACATCCCCGAGGGGTCCCAGATTGCGAGAGGGTGCAGGCCAGACTGAGGGACCGCCCTCCTCCCCCCCGCACAAATTTCATGTACTGGGCCTCTAGTATATGTTATAATTGTTACAATTAAGATATATATTATCCTATTATCTATCCTCTCAATTTGAAAAAAGTTTAAACTTAAAATCTTTTTTTAAATTTAAGATTTTCTAGCCTGGCTGGTTTGGTTTAGTGGTTGAGCATTGACCTATGAATCAGGAGGTCACGGTTTGATTCCCAGGCAGGGCACATGCCTGGTTTGCAGACTCCATCCCCAATAAGGGGCGTGCAGGAGGCAGCTGATCAATGATTCTCTCACATTATTGATGTTTCTATCTCTCTCTCCCTCTCCCTTCTTTTCTGAAATCAATAAAAAAAAAAATTTTTTTAAGTAAGATTTTCTATATAATATATTTAAGGAAAAAAAATGTTGCAAGACAAAATGGTTTTCAATATACCCAGCTCAAAAAATTTCCCTACCACATTTAAGGCAACATCTCCCAAAAAGTGTTCTGTTAAAAGAAAACAAATGATAATTAGATCTATCTATTGCTCCATATTTAAAACTAAGTCTTAGAGAAAACATTACATATGTATTCATTATGCAATAATCATCATCCACGATCCTTCTCCTGTCATATTCCTTCCTTTTCTACCACCATCCATCTTTATAAGTACTTTTTTTTATCCCATTCTCTTTATAAATATTTTCTTATCCTTTCTCTTTCCTAAAACTCAAATATTCTTTCCTCAGCTGTGTTTAATCCATTAATGAGTCCATCAAAGGCATTCTTCATTGCTGCTATAATGTTTTTAATATCTAGAATTTCTTCTTTTTTGTTTTTGATCTCTATAATTTATTTTTTTGATTCTTTCCTAGAATTTATGTCTCTCTGCTCATACTATCCATCTATCTGTTCTTGGATGTTGGTTACTTTTTTCTACAATGCCCTCAGTATAATAATCATACTTATTTTAAATTTATTTTCTGATAATTCTAACACTACTGATAACTCTGGATCTGATGTTGTCCAGTCTCTTCAAACTGTGTGGGTTTTATGTTTGTTTGTTTACCTTTAGCATGCCTTGTAATTATTTGCTAAAAAGTGGGCATGATGTACTGGGTAATAGGAACTGTGGTGAATAGGCCTTTAGTAGTGTAAGATTTGGGGGCCAGGAAGCAATCTATAGTTTTGCGATTAGGTCTTAGTTTTTTGTCTAGCTTGTGCCCCTCGACTGTGAACTTCACCAGTGTGTCTGTTTTTTCTCCCCTTAGGTGGGACAGCATGGCTAGAGGAGACTGAAGTTATGTATTTCCATTTTCCCAATGTGGAAGGCTAGAGGGAGCTAGAGTTGAGTATTTTCCTTCCCCCACTTGGGAGGATAGAACTGGTTATTTTCCTTCTCCTAGAAGGGTTAGGCTCTGATGATACCCTAGCAACTTAGGCTCTAGTGAAGTACTTTCTCCTGAGGGCAGGCTCTGTTAAGAAAAACAGAATAGCCTAACTGCATGGCTCAGTGATTGAGTGTCGACCTATGAACCAGGAGATCATGATTAGATTCCCGGTCAGGGCACATACCCAGGTTGTGGGCTCGATCCCCAGTGGGAGACATGCAGAAGACAACCAATCAATGATTCTCTCTCATCATTGATGTTTCTCTCTCATTGTTGAGCTCTGGGAGGTAAAACTCACAAAAGTGTGAAGGGCACCTGATGACTGGTTCCCCCTTAAGTTTTTTAAAAATATGCTTTTATTGATTTGAGAGAGAGAGAAGGGAGAGGGATAGAAATAGAAACATTGATGAGAGAGAAACATCATTGATTCATCATTGATTGGTGCCTCCTGCATGCTCCCTACAGGGGATCAAGCCTGCAACCTGGCCATGTGCCCTGACATGGAATTGAACCATGACCTCTTGGTTCCTAGGTCAACACTCAAACACTGACCCACACCGGCCCAGCCCCCTTAATACATTGTGGATGGATCACGAGAATTCTTGCTTCATATTACAGTGTTTTACAAAGTATCATACTTTAAAAAATATATTAGCTTGTAAGAATATGTAATAAATAACTTCAAAATGCAATGGGTATTTAATTTTAAAGTGTGCCTTTAATGTTTATGTAAAACGTTTTTTGTACTCCTTCAATAGAAATTTATCTGGCCACGGGGTAAAGCTAGCAATAAAACTACTGGCCCTCAATGTGTTAAGTTTTTAATTTTCAGAGTTGTCCACACTGAACTTCCAATAATTTATCAATCATGTTTTTGTTTTTCCTACCTCAGCACTGGTTCTCAAGGAGGTTTCTGTTCATGTGTTTTTGCACCAGTAAGTTGTGATTCTCTGTATCCACCTGTCTGTCTTTCCAAGTTTTGGTGCAGCAGTATGCCTGTGACCTTATTTGATGGATCAAAAAATGAGTTGTTGATTTTTCAGTTTGTTCAGGTTTTTACTTGTTGTTAGGACAGAGTGGTGATTTCTAAATTATTTACATCCTGGACTGGAAATTGGAAGTCTTCCAATTTTTCAAAATTTTTTATAAAACTGGACCTCCAAGTAGCATTTAACATTGTTGACTACTCCCACTTTCAGGAAAAACTATTTTCTTGGCTTCTATGATACCATATTCTGCGTATTTTCCTCCTTCTCTCTGTTCACTCTTCCTTTTCTACCTGAATGTAGATTTTTCCAAGGATTGATCCTGGACCCCTTTCTCTTATGAGCTCTATATTCTTTCTCAGGTCATTTTATCCATTTCCATGAACTTAATAGTATCTATAATATTATACACTCCTCTTCTGTTTTCCTGGCTTACACATTTATAGCCAATGGCTCTTCCAACATTTTCATCTTTGTGTGTCCTCAGACCTCCTGCCTTTCCTATCACATTAAATAGCGCTTTTATCCACCAAAGCTGCTTAAGACAAATCTAACAGTCTTTGTTGATGCCTCTCACTCCTTCATCCTCTATATTCAATCCATGAACTTTATAGGCAAAATTATCTTGAGTTCATGCATATTTCTTGTCCTCCTATATCCTAGTCACTGTTTACAATGACATTATGGTGTATTGGAAAGAGTACAGGTTTTAGATCCAGAAAGACCTGCCACAGCTTCTTAAACATATTGGTTAACATGTAAACCTCATTTTTCTCAGCTATAAAAAGGTAAAAACAAAGCAAGCAAACAAAAAGCTTACCTGATAGGAATGCATAGAGATATAATTAATGAAAAGTGCTTAGAATAATGCTTAGCATAGAGTAGCCATGTAGACAGTAGCTCCTGCTATCTAAATAAAGTCCAAAGACCTGTAGATTCCAGGCCTAATATAGGAATTCACACGTATTCCTCAGCCTAAAGCACTGCTCTGGCTACATAGCAAATGTCTTATTGATTTAATGATTAATAGACATCCAATTATCCAAAATGAAGTTGGAAAAATTATAAATTTTAATTAACTTCACTTAAACTGATATATGTTATATACTCATGTAACAATAATCCTATCTAATAAAAGAGAAACATGGTAATTGGCGTACGGCCGCTACCCTTCCCATTGGCTAATCAGCGAGATATGCAAATTAACTGCCAGTCAAGATGGCGGCCGGCAGCCAGGAAGCTTGAAACTAACATGAGGCTTGCTTGCTTCAGTGACGCAGGAAACCAACGTTCCCCGCCTGCCGCTGCAGGCCTCTGAGCTGGCAGTTTGAAACATAGTTACAAAAATAGAAGCTAAACAAAACCCCAGAAACCAGCTTTCAGCTAGCCGGGATCTCAGACCTGGAGTTGATACAGAGTTTCGATTGTAGAACCTAAACAAACCAGATACCTGCTTTCAGGAGCAGAGGCCTAAGAGCTGGAGCCTCAGAGCTAAAGCTGGCTCAGAATAAAAAAAAAAAAAAAAAAGAAAAAGAAAAAAAGGAGCAGTTGGGAGCTTCACTCCCAGCCTGAAAACAGCCCTCAGCCCCTCATCCAGGCTGGCCAGGCACCCCAGTGGGGACCCCCACCCTGATCCAGGAAACCCTTCAGGGCAAACCAGCCGGCCCCCACCCGTGCACCAGGCCTCTATTCTATATAGTAAAAGGGTAATATGCCTCCCAGCACTGGGATCAGCGTGACAGGGGGTAGCGCCCAAACCCCCTGATTGCCCTGCGGCTCTGTGTGTGACAGGGGGCGGGGCCAAAATCTCCCTATTGGCCCTGCTCTGTTCCTGACAGGGGAAGGAGCCCCAACCCCCTGATCGGCCCTGCTCTGTGCCTGATAGGGGGGAGCTCCCCAACCTCCTGATCGCCCTGCAGCTCTGTGTGTGACAGGGGGCAGCGCCCCAACCCCCCTGATGGGCCCTGCTCTGTGCGTGACAGGGGGTGGTGCCGCTACCTCCCCATCAACCCTGCCTTGAGTGTGACAGGGAGCGGTGCCCCAACCCCTCAATCGGCCCTACCCTGAGCGTGACTGAGGGTGGCATCGCAGCCTCCCAATCCGCCCTGCTCTGTGCATGACAGGGGGCGGCGCCCCAATTCCCCAATCGGCCCTGCTCTGAGCCCGACCAGGGGCTGCACCTAGGGATTAGGCCTGCCCTCTGCCACCTGGGAGCAGGCCTAAGTCAGCAGGTCGTTATCTCCCGAGGGGTCCCAGACTGCAAGAGGGCACAGGCCGGGCTGAGGGACCCCCCTCCCCCCCGAGTGCACAAATTTTTGTGCACCGGACCTCTAGTGTAATATAATTGCTAAACTCAAAAAGTGTTTTGAATTATTGACTTAAATAGCTGAAAAATTATTCCTATAAAAGTGTTGGTTAAAAATATGTCCTATGTTAATAAAATTTACAGTTTATATAATTATTCTGCTTTAATACTTGCTTTTTTCTTTGTTTTTTCAGGTGTTAAAGTGTAAGTTTTCTCAGCAAGTACTTCACAAGCTGCATTATCTACAAATAAAAACATACTTTACAATTTTAATTATTTAACTTATCATTCACTATAAGTACAGAAAACTCAAATATGAAAAACACTAATAACTGCTTTTGTAATAATTTTAGAAGAAAAAATATATATGTTGAATAATCTGACAGATAGAATAAAGTATTCTTTAAAATATATTTATCTCAAGAGTTCCAGGTTTCACAGGAGTAAATAAACTCTATATAAAATGCTGATGGAGAAGTTGCAGTAGAAAGAAAGAGCCTGGCCTGGCTGGTTTGACTCAGTGGATAGAGCATTGGCCTGGGGACTGAAGGGTCCTGGGTTTGATTTTGGTGAAGGGCACATGTCTGGGTTGTGGGCTCGATCCCCAGTAGGGAGCGTGCAGGAGGCACCAATCCATGATTCTCTCTGATCATTGATGTTTCTCTCTCACACTCTCACTCTCCCTTCCTCTTTGGAATCAATAAAAATATATTTTAAAAAAAGAAAGAAAGAGAGAGCCTGAAAATCTCAGGAAAGTGGAAATGGAAGGATAATTAATGAAGAATTTTAATTACATACACTTTCTCTACTTATTGAAATGTAAATAACTGTTGCAGTCAGTTTCCTCTGATGTCTGGTAGTATCAGTGAATGAGTTTGAGGAGACAGGATTTTCAGAATTTCAAACTATCTTTTTCTAAATATTTATTAACTACAAAGAAAAACTAGTAATGTTATAATGGAGAAAACCACCAGATACCACCTTAATCAAGTATTGAGGTTTTCTCCTGTGGTATGAGAAAAAAGAATGTAAAAACTCACCTAAAATTGCAGAGAGGTTTGAAAACTGTGGTGCCTTCTCTATTGCTACTGCTTTACTGGTATCCAGAAGAGTAGAATTCTTGCATTGCATGTATTCTTCCAACTTGGGACATTCCCAATCTAACAAAGCAGGGAGAAATGGCACAAAACTTTGAACAATAGCACACAAGTGGCAGGTTACCTTTCCTACTTCAGCTTAGGTCCCCAGCCCATGCACAGTTCTGATAACTAACATTTTGGATGAGAAAGAGAAAAAAGACAAGCCTTGGCCTATTCCCATGCTCTAACCCACTTTTAGACTTTTGCCACAAGGAGATTATTGATCTAAGGGACAGTTAGCACACATGGGAGCTCCTTGTCTTATTTTATGTATGTTATACCTATGTCCCATTATCATATCACTAAATAACATAGTGTTATTACTTGATGTCAGTTTTAAACTTTCCATTGACTTCTCACTATGGGAAATTTAGGCTATTGGCAATGCCCTCTGTGGTCCTGGATCTGCCTCTTGCTTCAACAGTGTTTGGACAGAACAGATCCAGAGATGCCCCTTCTTCCAGCCTCTGGCCACTCTCTAATGTCTTATCCAGTCACCACCTTCAGAACCACATCTAAGATCAGCCAACACACCAGGTTGTTTTCTTTCTACCTTAACTCCTCATTGCTGAACAACCATGAGCTCCCAAATTCAGCAGAATTATTCCACTGAGGTGGAGGCTCTGGTCAACCACCTGGCCAACCTGCTCCTGCGGGCCTCCTACACCTGCCTCTCTCTGGGCTTCTACTTTGACCTGATAATGTGGCTCTAGAGCAGCCATGGGCAAACTATGGCCCGCGGGCCGGATCCAGCCCGTTTGAAATGAATAAAACTAAAAAAAAAAAAAGACCGTACCCTTTTATGTAATGATGTTTACTTTGAATTTATATTAGTTCACACAAACACTCCATCCATGCTTTTGTTCCGGCCCTCCGGTCCAGTTTAAGAACCCATTGTGGCCCTCGAGTCAAAAAATTTGCCCACCTCTGCTCTAGAGGGAGTGGGTCACTTCTGCGAGCTGGTGGAGAAGAAGCCTGAGGGCATTGAGCATTTCTATTTATTTATTTATTTATTTATTTATTTATTTATGTATTTATTTATTATTGTTTAAAGTATTACATATATCTCCTTTCCCCCCATTGACCCTCCCAGCCACATCCACCCCTGAGGGCATTCCTCCACCGCCCCAGTGTCTGTGTCCATTGGTTATGCTAATATGCATACATACAAGTCCTTTGGTTGATCTCTAACCCCCGCCTCCCCCCCACTCCCCTGCCATTTGTCTCTGGATCTATTTTTATTCATCAGTTTGTGTTGATCATTATACCCCACATATGTGTGAGATCATGTGATATTTATCTTTCTCTGACTGGCTTATTTCGCTTATCATAATGCTCTCCAGTTCCATCCATTTTGCAAATGGTAAAAGTCCCTTCTTTTTTATAGCAGCATAATATTCCATTGTGTAAATGTACCACAGTTTTCTAATTCACTCATCTGTTGATGGGCACTTAGGCTGTTTCAAATCTTAGCTATGGTGAATTGTGCTGCGATGAATATAAGGGTGCATATATCCTTTCTGATTGGTGTTTCTGGTTTCTTGGGATATAGTCTTAGAAGCGTGATTACTGGGTTAAATGGGAGTTCCAATTCTTAAAGTTGCAAAACAAGCACAGTGGCCACATTCTCTTCCAGGAGGTGCTGAAGCCTTCCCCAGATGAGTGGGGCAAAACTCAGGATGCCATGGAAGCCGCCCTGGCCTTCGAGAGGAACCTGAACCAGGCCCTTTTGGAGCTGTCTGCCCTGGGTTCTTCCAGTGCAGACCCTCATCTCTGTGACTTCCTGGAGAACCACTTCCTGGATGAGGAGGTGAAACTCATCAAGAAGATGGTCAGCCACCTAACATCAGCAGGCTGGCAGGCCCCCAGACTGGGCTGAGTAGTATCTCTTCAAAAGGCTCACCCTCAAGCACAACTAGGAGCCTTTGGAGCCCAGAGGTTTTTGAGGGGCCCCTCTGCATTCCCCTGGTGTCTGGCTTTTACCTGAGCCTCTTCCCAAACTACTAGCCATTCTTTTAACCACCCTAAAGCCCTCTCCCATGCATTGAACCAAATGAAACAATAAAGTTTTTTGCAGCAAAAAAGAAGAGAAAGAAAAATGAGGCTATTCTCTTTTACATCCCTATTCCCACCTTTCCCATTGTCCTCATATTACTATATCACATATTTAATTAGATGAACATTCAATGTAGACATTATGGTAATGTCTACATAAAAAACGCTATTGATTCTTGTGGTATACTATGACTACCTTTTGCTTTCCCTGGGGTTAATAAAAGTCTTTTTGTTTGCTTAGTTTTCTCTATTTTTCATCTATTTAACTTAAAACTACAAAATCGTATAAATCCATCCTATTTATTCCATTCTCTGATGTTCTGAAGTTCATAATGCTCTATCTTGGTGTTTTTCATGTTGTGCTAGGCTCTTTTAAACCAGAATATTCTTTAAAAATTTTTTATTGATTTCAGAGAGTAAGGGAGAGGGAGAAAAGGATAGAAACATCAATGATGACAGAGAATCATTGATCGGCTACCTTCTGCATGCCCCCTTTTGGGGGTGGGGCCCATAACCCAGGCATGTGCCCTGACAAGGAATTGAACCATGACCTCCTGGTTCATAGGCCAAATGCTCGACTGCTGAGCCACACTGGACAGGCATTAAGGCTAATATTCCATTAACTGTGTATATACTATATTTTCTTTATGCATTCATCCACCCATAGACATTTAAGTTATTTCCACTCTTGGCTACCTATATATATAAGCGCCTAAGCAACCGAACGACCAAAGGACGGGCCAACTGGTCACTATGATGTGCACTGACCACCAGGGGGCAGACGCTCAACACAGGAGCTGCCTCTTGGTGGTCAGTGCACTCCCACAGCGGGAGCACCGTTCAGCCAGAAGCTGGGCTCACAGCTGGCGAATGCAGAGGCGGTGGCAGGAGCCTCTCTCACCTCTGCGTCAGTGCTAAGGATGTCCAATTGCCAGCTTAGGCCTGCTCCCAAGGAGAGCAGACCTAAGTCATAAATCAGACATCCCCCAAGGGCTCCCGGACTGCAAGAGGGCACCAGGCCTCTAGTTTTGAATAAATATCCAAAAGTGGGATTACTGGATCATATGGTAGTTCCACTTTCAATTTTTTAAGGAACTTCCAGATTGTTTTCCATAACAGTTGTATCATTTTACATTCCCATCAAAAGGGTATAAGGGTTCCAATTTCTCCACATCCTTGCCAACACATCTTTTTAAAAATAACCATTCCAACAGATATGGTGGTATCTCATTGTGGTTTTGATTTGCATTTCCCTGATTAGTGATGTTGAATGTCTTTTTATATATCTGTTGGCTAGTTGTGTCTTCTTTGGAGGAAAAAAACACCTATTCAAGTCCTTTACCCATTTTTAATCATGTTATTTGTGTTCCCCTCCCCACCCCCCAGTTGTAGGAATTTCTTAATATATTTTTTTAATATATTTTTATTGATTTCAGAGACTGGGCAATATATTTTTGAATACTAATCCCTTATCATATATGAAGTTTGCAAATATGTTTTCCAATTTTGTAGGTTGCCTTTACACTGTTCATTGTTTTTGCTGTGCAAAAGCTTTTTTGGTTTGTTTGTATGTAGTTCCAGTTGTCTATTTTTGCTTTTGTTACCTGTGTTTATGGTGTCATATCCAACAAATCATTGCCAAAACCAATGTCATGAAGTTGTCCCGTTTTCTTCTAGGAGTTTTATAGATTTTGATCTTATGTTTACATATTTAATACATTTTTAGTTAATTTTTGTGTATTGTGTGAGGTAAGGGTCCAATTTCACTTTTTGTATGTGGATATCGTTTCCCAACGTCATTTGTTAGACTACTCTTTCCTCATTATGTATTTTTGGCATCCTTGTCAAAGATTGGGTGACTGCATACACATGGATTTATGTCTGGGCTCTCTATTCTGTTCTACCTGGTTTATGTCTCTTTATGCCAGTATCATATGGTTACTGTAAAACATAATTTGCAATATATTTTGAAATCAAGAAATTCTGATTTTCTATCTAGACATTCTGTCCATTATTTGAAAGTGAGGTATCTGAATTCTCCTACTATTGTATTATTTTATTGCCTGTTTTTGCTTTTAGTTATGTCAGTGTATACTTTATATGTTAGATACTCTGATGCTGGGCGCATATTTATTTAAAATTATTATATGGTCCTAGTGAGTTGAACCTTTTATCATTATATAATGTACTTTTTTGTCTTTTGTGATAGATCTTGACTTAATTTCTATTTTATCTAAGTATAGCCACTCTTGCTCTATTTTGGTCACCATTTACATAGAATGTCTTTTTGTATCCCTTCACTTTCAACATGTGTGTCCTTAAGTCTAAAGTGAGTCAGTCTTTTAAAATCCACTCAGCCACTATCTTTTGATTGGAGAGTTTAATCCACTTACATTTAAAGCAATTATTGATAGTGAAGGACTTACTATTACTATTTTGTTAATTGTTTTTTTGTAGTCCTTTTGTCCTTTTTCCTGTCTTGCCATCATCCTTTGCTTTTTAATGATGTACATATTCACATGCTTTGACATCTTTCTATTTTTCTTTTGTGTATCTTCTATAGGTATTTTCTTTGTGGTTACCACGAAACTTAGTTTTAACATAAAACTAATAAAAACTTCAATCATATACAAAAACTCTACATTTTACTTTTCCCCTCACACAGTTATTGCTGTTACAATTTACATCTTTTTACATTGTGTATCAACATATTTTTATAGTTATAATTAAATACCGTCTTTTAACTTTTATACTAGAATTAAGTGAATTACATACCAATTACAGTATTAACTATTCTGTATTTGTTTACATACTTACTAGTGTTTTATGCTTTCATATTGCATTGAATCTTGTTTCAATGTGAAAAACTCCCTGCAGCGCTTTTTATTAGGCATGTCAAGAAATGATTAACCCCTTCAGCTTTTGTCTGTCTGGAAAGGTCTTTATCACTTCATTGTGATTTTAAGGATAGTTTTGCTAGTTATAATATTCTTGACTGTTTTTTCTTTCCCCACTTTGACTGTATCATTTCACTACCTTCTGGCCTGCAAGGTTTCTGCTAAGAAATATATTTATGGTCTCATGGGGTTCCCATTGGCATATCAAGCCACTTTTCTATTGCTGCTTTTAAATTCTCTTTGACTTTGACAATTTATGTGTCCTAGTGTAGATTTCTTTGCGTCATCTTATTTGAGGTTCTTTGTGCTTCTTAGAATTGAATACACATTTCTCACCGAAACCGGTTTGGCTCAGTGGATAGAGCATCGGCCTGCGGACTGAGGGGTCCCAGGTTCGATTCCGGTCAAGGGCATGTACCTGGGTTGTGGGCACATCCCCAGTGGGAAATGTGCAGGAGGCGGCTGGTCGATGTTTCTCTCCCATCGATGTTTCTAACTCTCTATCCCTCTCCCTTCCTCTCTGTAAAAAATCAATAAAATATATTTAAAAAAAAAAAAGAATTGAATACACATTTCTTTTCCCAGATTTGGGATTTTGTAGCCATTGTTTCTGTGAATAAGCCTCTCTCTGGAATAAATATTTTGACCTGTTTGATTTTTCTCTTCACTCTGAATTCACTAATTCTTTCTTCTGCTTGATCTAGTTGGCTGTTGAATCCTTTTATTAAATTTTTCAGTTCATTTATTATATTCCTTAGCTCTAAGATTTCTGTTTGATTCTTAAAAAGTTTTCTATGCCTTTCTTGGAATTCTCACTACTTTCATGCATTGCTCTCCTAAGCTCATTGAACATCTTTAGTGATGATTATTTTGAATTCTGTTAGATAAGTGAGATGAAAACTTGCATGCTAGACCAAGCTGCTATCTTTGTTCTCATCACCCATCAGTCTTCTAGAGTATGTCAGGTCCCATAAGTACTCTGGAACAGGCAAGATGGTATCCAATCCTTTGGGTAGCGCCAAAAAAATTTAGAATGTTTGATGCATAGTTCAGTCCTTTCCTTTGCTTGCAGGGAGAATCTTGGAGCTAGGGATTTCATGCCAATTATATGGTACCATGCTGGAAGTGCAGTTTATGGTGGGAGAGTGTCTTGAATTTTCCTCCTGGCTTTGATGTGGCTGGTTTCATGCTTTTCTGAGGTTAAGAAGCCCCTCAACTAGTTTCTAGATTCCTCACAAGTGGGATTAGTTTATGTATTGCTGTTGAATTGGTGGGTAGGAGGGTCCATGGCTTCCTATTTCAACAGCTTTCTGATGTCACTCCCATATTTTGCTTTGTTTTTATCTCTATGTTTTATGCTAGAGACTCCTCAGAAGTCTGGTGATTCCTGGCTCTCTGCTAACATTTAAGAGGGAACCCAAAAAGCCTCAATGGACTCTCTGTGGCCTAATTGTAGCTTGCCACAAGGTTGGCTTCACTGTAGGGTGTTCTTGTCAGTTTCATCAAAGTACTACTGTAGTCACTATCTTTAGATATGTTTTTCTAGGGTTGCTCAGATTTCTTAGGAAAGTGTCTTCCATTCTCTTGTCTGGAAGGTTCAAGTCTGGGTACTAGTATTCTGGAAACTGAGCAGAGAAATGAGCTGTTGGGTAGGATGAGAATAGGCATTGGTAAACAGGTCCCACAATTTAGAATGTATAGTTTCATTTATTTTTTTTTCTAATATATTTTTATTGATTTCAGAGAGGAAGGAAAAGGGAGAGATAGAAACATCAATGATGCATTTATTTATTATTCCCGTGTCTACTGGTTGGTTCAGGCAGCTCTGCTTTAGATTCCAGGTGTGCTGATCAATTGGGCAGCCCTCTGCACTCTGCAGATTGCCTGGGCCACTCTGCTCTGTGCCGGTCATTCAGGGGTCCCACTGGAACTAATTAGGATATATTCTTCTCTTGATGGCAAACGTGTAAGAGGACAAGCCGACCATTTAAACATATTTCAAAGGTTTGTATATTTTACTCACTAATATCATATTGCCAAAGCAAGTCACATTGCCAACTTCAAAGCCAAAGCGTGAAAAGGAGGTTTTGGTGAGGAAGGGAAGTATGCTTTCTCAAAAAGATCATTATTCATTGGACGATTGTAGACAAAGGAACAATTTCTATAGTTGAGCAACTTAAAATTGAAATTATTTTCTTACCTAAATAATCTGATCCTCTGAAGAGTTCAGGTGATGGGAAGCTACTTAAATTCTCTTCAAAACTCTTGCATTCTATAGAAGAATCTGTGATTGAATAGCTTAGAAGAGAGCTAGAAATATCATGCTGCAAACTTAGTCCTGTAGAATAAACAACCAAAAAGGACAAAATGTTTAAATAGTAAACAGATTCAAAATCTTAAGAATTCAAATTTGTAGAAATGTACTTGTAGTTGTATGTTAAGAAAGTAAAATTACTTCTACATACAAATGAAAAAATATACTATTGGTAAACCATTTTATCTTAGAAAATAATTGTTTTTGATGTAGAGAAAATGCATTATAACCCTTTTCCATTGTTTTTCTAAGTTTTATAACTTATTCTTTCCCTATTTTGGTTCAGTTATAATTCTTGACTCAAAAATCTAAGTTTTATATATAAGTTACCCACTAACTAGCTGAAGAGAAAAAAGGGTGATTCTAATAATTCCATTCAGAAAATAATGTGCCTAAATGTAGACAAATAAGTCAAAGGAACTGAATAGAGAACCCAGAAATAGACTCACACATATATGAGCAACTGATTTTTATCCAAGATACAAAGGCAATTCAGTGGGAAAAAAAATATTCTTTTTAAAAAAATTATGCCAGAACTGAATACCCATATGTAAAAGAAAAACAAAAAATTTGCACTCATATCTTCAATCATATAAAAAATTAACTATTAATGTATCATAGATCTAAATATAAATCCTAAAACTATAATATTTAACCCCCAAAAAACCAACAAAAAAAAAGAGAAAATCTTCATGATATTGGGTTAGATTTTTTTTTTTAATTTTTTTATTGATTAAGTCTGTGGTCAGCAAACTGCAGCTCGCAAGCCACATGTGGCTCTTTGGCCCCTTGAGTGTGGCTCTTCCACAAATACCATGTGTGGGCGCGCACGTACAGTGTGATTGAAACTTCGTGGTCCATGCGCAGAAGTCGGTTTTCAGCCTGGGCGAGTCTATTTTGAAGAAGTACTGTTAATATTTGGCTCTGTTGACTAATGAGTTTGCCGACCACTAGTTACATATGTGTCCTTATCCCCATGTTACCCCCTATGCCCCCCACTCATGCCTTCACCCCCCTGTTGTCTGTGTCCATTGGTTAGGTCTATATGCTTGCATATAAGTCCTTTCGTTGATCTTTGATATAACAATAAAAAGATGAGTCATTAAAACAATACAATGATAAACTAGACTTCATCAAATTTAAAATTTTCTCTTCAAAAGAGACTGTTAATATGAAAAATAAGCCACAAATTAAGAGAAAAGATTTGCAAATGCAATGGAATTCAGAATATAAAGAACTGGCCCAACTGGTGTGGCTCAGTGGTTGAGGGTCAACCCATGAACCAGTAGCTCACAGTTTGATTCCCGGTCAGGGCACATGCCCAGTTTCTGGGCTTGATCCCCAGTGGGGTACATGAAGGAGGCATCCAGTCAATGATTCTGTGTCATCACGATGTTTTTATCTCTTTCTCCCTCTCCCTTCTTTTCCCTGAAATCAATAAAAATAAATGCTAAGTAAAAGAATTCTGAAAACTCAATAATGGGGGGGGGGGGGGAATCTTAGTAAGAAAATGGGCAAAATATTTTAACACAGAATCTCCCAGACTCAGAGGTCTTAAAGTCATCCTTGTGAGAGTGGACTAGAATAAAGAATTTTCCAGTAAATTATTGTGATAGAACTCTTTTCACAGTTAATTTCTATTCATCTCTTTGCATATATAATTTCTACTCTTCTTTAGATATGAATTAAATTGCTATTCCCTCATGGAAGCCCTCCCTAATCTCCCAACCAAAACTCAATTAGTTACACTAAATTCAATCCCTTTTTTGTAGCACTTATCACAATTGTAATTTACTGGTCTGTTATAAGATGAGGGCCAGAGGCCTGGCTGAAAAAATCATCTTAGACGAGGAGAAAAACACCTTTTTCACTGAAATGGGAAGACGACAGAGATATAAATTGATGCATATGCTTATAAGAAAGAAAACTGAGGGAGTTCACACCTGACCGTCTTACCTGATACTAGTTCACCAGTTGATGAACTTCTGTCAATCTGGAGATCATCAGTCACTGAATCCTATGTGAAACAAGAATTAAAGATAACACAAATTATGAGACTGAATATCCTATCTAATAAAAGAGAAACATGGTAATTGGCGTACGACCGCTACCCTTCCCATTGGCTAATCAGCGAGATATGCAAATTAACTGCCAGCCAAGATGGCGGCCGGCAGCCAGGCAGCTGAAAGTGAACATGAGGCTTGCTTGCTTCAGTGACGCAGGAAACCAACATTCCCTGCCTGCCTTGCCGGCCTCTGAGCTGGCAGTTTGAAACATTGTAACAAATATAGAAGCTAAACAAAACCGCGGAAACCTGCTTTCAGCGAGCCGGGATCTCAGAGCTGGAGTTGATACAGAGTTTCAATTATAGAACACAAACAAACCAGATACCTGCTTTCAGCAGCAGAGGCCTAAGAGCTGGAGCCTCAGAGCTAAAGCTGGCCCAGAATAAAAAAGAAAAAAGAAAAAAAGGAGCAGTTGGGAGCTTCAGTCACCCGACAGCCTGAAAACAGCCCTCAGCCCCTCACCCAGACTGGCAAGGCACCCCAGTGGGGACCCCCACCCTGAAGGTGTGTGACCAGCTGCAAACAGCCATCATCCCCTCACCCAGGCTGGCCAGGCACCCCAGTGGGGACCCCCACCCTGATCCAGGACACCCTTCAGGGCAAACCAGCCGGCCCCCACCTGTGCACCAGGCCTCTATGCTATATAGCAAAAGGGCAATATGCCTCCCAGCACCGGGATCAGCAGAGCCGCGGGCCTCCCGGCACTGGGATCAGCGTGACAGGGGGCAGTGCCCAAACCCCCTGATCGGCCCTGCTCTGTGTGTGACAGGATGCGGCACCCCAACCCCGCCCCCCCCCCCCACGGGCCCTGCTCTGTGTGTGACGGAGTAGAGCCATAACCTCCCCATCAGCCCTGCCCTGAGTGTGACAGTGGCGGCGCCCCAACCCCTGATTGGCCCTGCTCTGTGGGTGATAGAGGGCGGCGCCCCAACCCCCTGATCCGCCCTGCTCTGTGTGTGACAGGGGGCGGTGCCCCAACTCCCCTATCGGCCCTACTCTGTGAGTGACAGGGGGGAGCTCCCCAACCCCCTGATGGGCCCTGCTCTGTGCGTGACAGGGTACAGAGCCCCAACCTCCCTGATTGGCCCTGCTCTGTGCGTGACAGGGGGTGGCACCGCAACCTCCCCATCGACCCTGCCTTGAGTGTGACAGGGGGCGGTGCCCCAACCCCCCAATCGGCCCTACCCTGAGTGTGACTGAGGGTGGCATCACAACCTCCCAATCCGCCCTGCTCTGTGCATGACAGGGGGTGGCGCCCCAATTCCCCAATCGGCCCTGCTCTGAGCCCGACCAGGGGCTGCACCTAGGGCTTGGGCCTGTCCTCTGCCACCCGGGAGCAGGCCTAAGCCAGCAGGTCGTTATCTCCCGAGGGGTCCCAGACTGCGAGAGGGCACAGGCCGGTCTGAGGGGCACCCCATCCCCCCCAAGTGCACAAATTTTTGTGCACCGGGCTTCTAGTTTTTATATTATAATATTGTATCACACTGATTTGGTCATTTTGAAAATGAAAAGCTAATATCAACTTCATATATTAGTTTCATATGTATAATAGATCCCTTTAGCTTATTGATCACAGATATAATTTGGTACTTAATATTGAATCTGAAAATAAATATTAAAATACGTTATAGACATATCTAGAGATTCAACAAAATTACTGTCAGTTAACTACTATGGGATAGCCCAGAAACCAGAAGATAAAGGTGAATATCTTTCTGATCCCCTAAGTAGGAAAGGCTTTTTTCCTTATACATATGAAACAAAATAGATCAAAAAATTGACAGCTAAGTCTAAAATACCAGAAATAAATACCAAAAAAAATATATGGAAATATTTGTTATATATGTGTGTGTAAAAGTATAACTATCTTCAGTATATAATGAACAACTATTTCACAAAAAAGAAACACAAATGGCCAATGAAATGAGAAAAAATTCTTACCTTTACTAGCATTCAAAGAAATGGAAAGTGAAACAATATTCCACTTTTCATCTATCAAATTTGGCCTGATCCGTGCAGGCGCGGCCAAGGGACCCCACTGGTGCACGAATCCGTGCACCAGGTCTCTAGTATGCATATAAGATCTTTGGTTAATCTCTTCCTGCCCTCCCCCCTCCCCCATTCCCTCTGAGATTCATCAGTTTGTTCCATGTTTCCATGACTGTGCCTTGAGCGTCTGCCTCCTGGTGGTCAGTGCATGTCATAGCTAACGGTCAAATGGTCAAATGGTCACTTAGGCTTTCATATAAATAAATAAATAAATACACACACACACACACCATCCTATCTAATAAAAGACAAAAAGGGTAATTAACCGTACCTCCGCTACGCTTCCCATTGGCTAATCAGCGAGATATGCAAATTAACTGCCAACAAAGATGGCGGCCGGCAGCCATGCAGCTGAAGCGAGCAGGAGGTTTGCTTGCTCCAGTGATAGAGGAAGCCAAGGTTCTCCGCCTGCCGCGGCTCGGCTATAAGCTCCGAAAGCAACAGTTCAAAAAGCAACAGTTTCAATTATAGAAGCTAAACAAACCCCAGATACCTGCTTTCAGCCAGCCGCGGCCTCAGAGCTGGGAGTGTCAGTCACGGCAACAGAGTTTCAATTATAGAAGGTAAATAAATCCCAGAATAAAAAAAAAAGAAAAAAAGGAGAGGCTGGGAGCTTCAGTCGCAGGCCAGCCTGAAAACGGCCCTCAGCCCCTCACCCAGACTGACCAGGTACCCCAGTGGGGACTCCCACCCTGAAGAGGGTGTGGCCAGGCTGAAAACAGCCATCAGCCCCTCACCCAGGCTGGCCAGGCACCCAAGCGGGACCCCCACCCTGATCTGGGACACCCTTCAGGGCAAACCAGCCCCCCCGCCCCCGTGCACAAGGCCTCTATCCTATATAGTAAAAGGGTAATATGCAAACTGACCCTAATAGCAGAAAGAGACTGGGACTGACTAGTCACTATGACACACACTGACCACCAGGGGGCAGACACTCAATGCAGGAGCTGCCCTCTGGTGGTCAGTGCGCTCCCACATGGGGGAGCTCTGCTCAGCCACAAGCCAGGCTGATGGCTGCCAGTACAGCGGTGGCGGTGGGAGCCTCTCCTGCCTCCTCAGCAGCGCTGAGGATGTCTGACTGCAGCTTAGATCTACTCCCCACTGGCAAGTGGACATCCTCCAAGGGCTGCCGGGCTGCCAGAGGGATGTCTGATTGCCAGGTTAGGCCCAATCCCCCGGGGAGCAGGCCTAAGCCAGCAGGTGGTCATCCCCCGAGGGGTCCCAGACTGCAAGAGGGCACAGGCCGGGCTGAGGGACCCCCCCGCCCCGAGTGCACAAATTTTTGTGCACCGGGCCTCTAGTATATATATATTAAGTTTCAGGTAAGATGGTGCTGATTTACCAACATGAATTAAAAAATTTAAACATGATTCAACCTTTGACTCATTGGAAAGTATTTTTCTTGGGACAACAATTGAGGAACACAAAAAACCTTCTACAGTAAGATATCCACTGATAACTATAACAGCAAAACCTTGGAAACAATTTTAATCCTCTAACTACAGGAAAACAGTTATTCAAATTATAATATATCTGTAAGACAATGCATTATGCAAGACACTAAAAATTGTATCTATATATTTAAATATTTTTATTGTTTTGTGTTTTTTTTTAGAGAGAGAAGAAGGGAGAGGGAGAGAGAGCAACACTGATATGAGAGCAGAACATTGATCTGCTGTCTCCTGCATACCCCCTACCTGGGATCTAGCCTGATACCCAGGCATTTACCAGGAATCAAACTGGCAACCTTTCAGAATATGGGACAATGCGCAACCAACTGAGCCACACCGGTCAGGGCTAAAAAGCATATTTTTTGAAGACTATTTAATGTTAAAGGAATTTACAATAACATAACTTGTAAAATGAAAAAAGGCACAAAATCAGAATAGGAAGAAATATATAAAAATTAGAAGAAGCTGCTTGAAACACTTGTTGAATAGTTTGAATCATCTACAAGGAACACTTAATAGTTATTATTGGAGGGAAAAGCCTTAAAAAATGCTTTTTGCTGAAAATGCCATTCAATAAAAAACAAACAAACATGCTATAGAGAAAATACTGGAACATAACTATCAACTTTAATGCTGATATCAGATGAGTCACAAATAATTTTTTATATCCGAGTCTCTCCAAACTACTACTACCCATCTTTAAAATACTGAACGGAGTCCATATTAAATGCAGATCAAAAAGTAACATTCTAAAGGTAACGAATCCCGTTTCTAGTCGTTAATGGGAAAACATGAAAATGGCTTTAAAATGTTACCAAACATAAGGGAGTTAGAAACACAAGAAACATTAGAAAGGTTTTATATCTGTCATGCAGAAAATTAGCCAGTGTCAGACTATTCTGAAACTTTTGTCAAGGGAAAGAAAAAACAAAAATGCATGGCTATGAATCTGCCAGAATCAGAAATTCAAGGCTCTGTCTGAAGACACAGCATCAATGTTCATAAAAACATTAAAAAGCTATGTAGTCTCTACTGAACAAAGACCATATTATACTTTCATCTGGAGGTACAGCAGGCACTGCCGGTTTGTCCGCTAAGTGTGTCCACGGGTCATAGGAGAAACATACATACGCTCAATGGAGCAATCTTCTCATCTTCAGTCTCTTCTTCACTAGTGCTACTTTCCCGCAGGCTTCTCTCTCCTGCAACTCCTACTTGAGAGCTAACAGACAAACAACACGATTAGTTTGCACCGTCTGGCCTTGGTTCTCCAGGTCTCTGCTCCCTGTGGCACACCGTTCAGACTCTGAAAGGCTCTTTGGGGGACGTCCTTAGGGAAAAGCAAGGAACAGAGTTGGTGAACTGCACCAATACCCAACTGATGCCATGAATGCTTTCTGGGTGTTTTATCTCACTTGCTTTTAGGTGAGTTGGCAAAATTTTCTCTTTTAAATAGTTATTTTCTAAAGTCAAATTTCTGGGTCTATGTTCTGAGAAGAACGGAATCAGAGTTTCTATTTATTTATTTTCTTTGTTGACTCTGAGAATGAGAGGCTATTGGCTGCTAGAAAATTAGGATTGCAGGTTTGAGGAGGAGGCCAGAATGCACAGGGCTGTTCCTCGCGGCTACGCACCTGGGCAGCCCAGGGCTGCTACCACCCCGCCCACTGCGCTCCGCGTTCTCGGCGATCTTCCGCAGCCCGTGAGCTTTGCCGGGTCCTTTCAGGCCTGAAGGAGGGCGGCTCGTGTCAGGGCGAACGCCTGGAGGCCGGCCTTCTGGCTCCGGGGGGTCCCTGGGGGCGAGGCCCAGCTGCCAACTCCCTCCCCCACCCGCACCTCCATGCTCCCACGCAGGCCCGTCTGGCAGAGCTTACGGTGGGCAGCGAGCCGTCGGCTCGGACCTGGGAGTGCCTCTGCCATCACCGGCGGGCCGGGGTCTGGCGTCGGGGTGAGGTTGAGCCTCTGGCCGGTCCTCTTCTTGCGGGTGTAGACCCGTAGCGGCCACATTGCCATCCACCCGCAGGCCTCGGGGCCCCTTGTCGTCGCCTTCCTGAGGAACTGCGCTGCTGCCGGAGGGAGTCCCGTCCAGAGGAGCCTGCGGAGCAGCCTGCGAGGAGTACGGGGTAGAAAAGCAAAAGGTCGCACTACCCGGCCCAGCGCTGGACGGCGCAGGAAAGGAGCTCCCCGCCTCGCTCCCGCCTTCTGGGAAGATGTGTGTGAGATGGCCGCGCGCGGAGGCTTCTGGGAAGATGTGTGTGAGAAGGCCGCGCGCTGAGGCTTCTGGGAAGCGGAGTGAGAAGGCCGCCGGGCGCCTGTCCTCCTGGGAGCACAGAGCCCAGGTAGTGGAGCGGGTGGCGGTGGGGTGGGGGTGGGGGTGGGGTGGGAGACGTGGCTTCTGGCCCCTGACGCAGGTCTCTGGCTTCCTGCCACCAACAGGATGCTTACAGGACAAGACTTGTTCTTTCTCCAGGAGTTGGCGCGGAGCTGTGGGCCCGCTGCCCCGCTGCTCACCTTGTCCACCTGCAGCAAAGGAGTGTTAGGTCTCTGAGCACAGGGAGCCTAGCGGTCAGCCTGGCTCAGGGCAGGAGGGGCAGAGGGGAAGGAAAGCACATGAAAGCCTCAGGGAGTGTCCTCTTGAACAATCAGCGTCAGTCTTCTGGGGGCCATGGTACTTGAGAGTTTATCCAAGCATTTGAAAATTTGGGATTCCAGAAGTTTCTTTCCAGGGACAGGCAGGATCCCTTAGCCCAGTGGTTCTCAACCTTCCTAATGCCGCGACCCTTTAATACAGTTCCTCATGTTGTGGTGACCCCCAACCATAAAATTATTTTCGTTGCTACTTCATAACTGTAATGTTGCTACTGTTATGAATCGTAATGTAAATATCTGATATGCAGGATGTACTTTCATTGTTACAAATTGAACATAATTAAAGCATAGTGATTAATCACAAAAACAATATGTAATTATATATGTGTTTTCTGATGGTCTTAGGCGACCCCTGTGAAAGGGTCGTCAGACCCCAAAAGGGGTCGCAACCCACAGGTTGAAAACCGATGCCTTAGCCCCTTGCGTTAAGGTGGGGAATTCCACAGAGGACACCCCTCCTGGTTCCTGGGGCTCAGCTCTTTGGCTCTGCCTAATTGGAGGGACATAGGAATGACCTCCCTCTCTCCATACACCCAGGTTGAACCATCTGGCTGCATCTGATAAGCATACTGTGCACATAATAACCACCTTTTTTTAAAGAAATATAAGAACACTTTATTCTTTTTTCCTATTTTCTTTGTATTTATGTGGATCTTATGATGTAATCACAACAAACATGTATTAATTATGGCATTTATTTATTTATTTTAACCAAAGAATTTATATGCATATAGCATAACCCATGGACACAGACAATAGTGTGGTGAAGGCCTGGGGGTGCAGGTACAGGATAGAAGGGGTCAATGGGGGGAAAAAGGGGACATCTGTAATACTTTCAATAATAAAGATTAAAAAACAAAAAATAATAAAATAAAAACCATCTTTTTAAAAAAATGACATTTCACAATATTAAAAATGACATTTGTAGACATGAAACTCAAAAGTTATACTTTCCTGTGATGCTTCAATATTGTGTGACTATAAACACATACATAGCCACTATATTTTTATATCACTCTGAATTTTTTCTTTCAAATCTGCTGGTAGAAAGTCATTTATGACAATCAATTTATAATTAATCCATTAAAACTTAACTTCATAAAGAACAGAGGTTAGTCTTTCTTACCTGATTAGATACAGTGCTTTGAGTCACTGAATCAACACTTACTCAGCACCTTACTCTGTGTTAGGCACTGTGGTAGGTCCTCGGGATAGAGGTGAATTAGAAATGGCCCTTCCATCAAGATCTCACAGTTTTGTTGCAGTATAAAATGATGATTGTATTTCAATATCCTTTCTTTAGTGATATCCGTAGTATGCTGACAGCCACTCTCTAGTTATAAGCCAAGTCTCCAGGCTCCCCTCTCCCCCTTTCTTACATGACCTTTGGGAGGTCTGGGTCCTGGATGCCCTAGACTGGAAGAAACATTGAAAGAGGAAAACACCTTAAAGCAAAGGTTGATCTGCCCTTTGGTGGCCTGCTTCCCTAGAACTCTGTCTTATATTCCTGGAACTCTGAATCTCATTCACTGAAGTGCCATCAAGTAAAGATTTAAGGAAATTAATGGATAGGATTTCAAAACTGGAAATAACCTTTGGTATGATTTCTTGAGCCATAAGGGTCCTTAGAGATGATCTAGTTGCCCCTCATTATGCAGCTGAAGAAACCAGAGCCTAGGGAGCCTCGTTATGAAAGATGGTTAGCATAGGTGGCATGGATTTCCTTGCATTTGGCTTGTCATGCTCCAGTTCCTCCTAACACAGTGATGGTGAACCTGTGACACGCGAACTCATTTTTTTGGTTGATTTTTCTTTGTTGAATGGCATTTAAATATATAAAATAAATATCAAAAATATGTGTTTTACTATGGTTGCAAATATCAAAAAATTTCTATATGTGACACGGCACCAGAGTTAAGTTAGGGTTTTTCAAAATGCTGACACGCTGAGCTCAAAAGGTTTGCCATCCCTGGCCTAGACTTTCTGCTACAAACTCAAGCAACTCACAGTCTGAGTGGGAGTGGGCAGAGGGGCAATCAACCAGTCAGCCATGCGGCAAGCTTCCAAGAGAAAAGAGTACTTGAGCTGAGTTTTAAGAGATAAATGGTAGGAGTTAAGAGGGATTAAAGGAAAGGGCATTCTACAAAAAGGGGACCATAGGCGGCACAGAAAAACATGATGCTTTTAGGACACTACATACAAAAAGTAGTTGCCATGATTGCAGCCAAGGCCCCGTGGGGGAAGGGCACGAGAAGAGGTTTGGGGCCTTGTGTGCTGAACCAGGGAGTCTGAACTTTATTCTGAAAACTGTGGGAAGTCATTGAAGGAATATTAAGCAAGAGAGTGGCATGACCAGATTTTCAATTTAGAAAGGTCACTGTGACTGAAATATGGATGGCAAAATTTGAGGAAGCTGGGATGGAAACGAAGACTAATTAAGAAAGCACTGTAATATTCCAGACAACAGATGAGAGTGGAGCCAATTACACTAAAAGCTGTGGGAATAAAGAGGAGTGGAGGCTTAGGAAATTTTGAGAAGGCAGAATCTGCATAATTTAGAATGGCAGAACATACCATTTTAAGAAAGTGTGCCTGTTATCTAGTATGTGGGTTAAAGACATTATGGAAATACTGTTTATGGGCCATCATGATGGAAACTTTGAATACAGTTCTTTGTTCCTTTTTTGTGCCATATTCTTTAAAAGTATAAAAGTGATTTAAATCCAGGACATATTTGGTAGCAGCAAATGTACAAAGCAAATGAGAGCCTCTTGGGGGACCATAAGGCTTTGAAGTTTGGGGACCCTTACAAAGGATGTGGAGTATGCAGACTAGTGACATGGCTTGATACTATGTTTACCATAAGTACTACGATTGATGATGACCAAATATACTAACATCATGGGATTATATGATATGAATACATAAAATAATAATTATAAGCAACTTTGAGAAACAAAAAAATCTTTATTTTTTACAAAAGTTTTCATAAATGCATTTTATATTTGTTATGCATGCTATTATAACAAAGCAACTAAAATATAACTATAGTTAAGATACTTTTATGCATATTTAAAAAGTAATATTTTAATCTCCTTTTTAAAAATTGAAAGTAGAATAAGCAATTCTTCAAAAAATATCCGTTTTCCCCCTCATGCATTTGTTGCAATGACTTAACAAGGAAAATTAAAATAACCAGTCAAATGAATGTTTAAAAGCAACTGTCACCTCATGAAAACCTTTTCAGTTTGGGACCAGGTTTAGAAATGCTTGTATGCCAGGTGTTTATCTATTGCCTCTGGGTGACAACCATGCATATAGTCTAACTGAAGCTTCCCATTTGGGACTTTGTCCTCACTTGGAGGCTAATCCCATTCTTACTGCAGTTGATTGTAGATTCACAGAAAGGACTGTGCAGCATACTTGAGAGAAAATTCAGACTACCAGGATCATTTTGTTCTTTCATGTATATGCTCCTTTAAAATAAAAACAGGCAAGAAAATGCAGCAACTTAGCTCAACATATAATTTATCAATTTGATATATGATTACTCATTTTTTCCTGAGATAATTAAGCAAGTTTGTAAGTAGTCTGTTTTCATGCAAAAATACATTTTCCCATTCTTTACATTCATTTTGTAGCATTTTGTATTCTAAATAACTAGATCACATTTGTGCTTTATACATTTGGAAAATAAAGAATAATTCATTTTCTTTACTGCAGAAAATTAAGATTACTGGTTCTCCAATGGGTAATACAGTCAAGTTAAGTGCCAACTTCAAGTTGCTAAAACATCACCCGACTATAAAAATAGCAATGGAAAGTTCTGTTTTTTCTCATGCTTGCCGTTTTACCTAAATTAGGAATGAAAGGTTGACTTGCTCATGTGAGGGAGGCATTATATATATTCATTCATTCCTTGGACTCCTGAGTTTGTGAGTTCCTAACTGTTGGAGCTAGGCCTACACACCACTCCTGGTCAGAGTTTCCTCTCACCTGGGGGGAAATCACAGTATAATATAGAGATGTCTTTTATGGCAAAAGGAAAAAAATTGGTGCATATTCTATTTTAAAATATACACAAGATTCGTTTGTAAAATGTGTGAATTACTAACACATTTGAATGAGAAACATAAAAGTGTTTAAGAACATGTTTATGCTTAAGGAATTGATCTCTGTTATACCTTTAGACTTAAATTGGTCTGACATCCATTGTGAAGGTGAATGTCTTAAGTACATAGCTTTTCTCTATGTTGGTTAAAGAGAAATAAAAACCTTTTTCCTCTAAATAAAGTTGGGAAATCTGAAGCAAGAAGAATTTTTTCATTAATACATACTGTTTCATTTCTTCTTTATTAAAAAGTTCAGTGGAGTTAAATAGAGGAATAGATAAAGGTATAGGGCAGTGGTCGGCAAAATGCGGCCCCTTGAGTGTGGCTCTTCCACAAAATACCACGTGCGGGCAAGCAAGTACAGTGCGATTAAAACTTTGTGGCCACACTCAAGGGGCCAAAGAGCCGCATGTGGCTCGCGAGCCGCAGTTTGCCGACCACTGGTATAGGGTGTCCCAAAATTCACGCAAAATTTGAATTTTACGCCATTTGTGCCGTAAAGTGTTGCCAACGGAAAAAAAAGATAGCGTGACAGCTGACAGTTCAGGGTTATTAAAAATGGAGCGCTACATGAAAGAACAATGCGTTTTCATTGTTGAGCAATAGTTTAAAAATAATGAAGGTTTGGCAGCTACAGTTCACAATTTTCGTGCAAAATATGGTTAGAATAGTGATTTAACTTCATCAACTGTGAAGAGATTAATTAAAAAATTTAGGGAGACTGGATCAATTAGTGATCTTAAACACTCTGGCTGTCCTTCAACAAGTCGTTCAACACAAAACATCGAAGCAGTTTGTGAGAGTGTTGCTGAGAGTCCAGGGACATCAATTCGGCACCATTGTCAAGAACTGGACATTTCGAGAAGCTCTCGGAGGCCATTTACCCGATATGCTACTCCATACATAACCCTATACTGTATACTTTATGAATCAATAAAAAATTTACAATTTTTAATTATAAACCTGTGTTTTCTATTAAAATTACTTCTTGCGTGAATTTTGGGACACCCTTTACATGCAATATATTTAGGGTCCATTGTTCACTTTTCTCAGCACATCTGCAGTAACTTATTTATTGGCCCAAGTGTGGTGATTTCACACAGATCAGGAAGGCTGGTAGAAACATAAGATCTTCAAAATGAGAAAAAGAAGAAATCTTAAGTAGTCTATATTCAATCATATCTAGCTATTATGAAGTATAAATAGAATCAAAATAAGTTTGAAATAACTTGGTTATATGACATTGTCAAAATTCTTTTTGGAAACAAAGCCAACTATGCAGTTATGTTAAATGGAAGGACAATGGGAAACTGCTTCAATTTTTTCAAGATGTGAAGCTATTTGTCTTTAAAATAGTATGAATATTCAGTTCAGGCAATGATTTTCCCTTTTAATTAGTCAAGTATATATTAAGTGCAAAAAAACCCAACAACAATGCTATGTAGATGTGGCCTTGGGCATTTTCTAGTATTTATTTAGAAATGCCTTTAAAAATTAATGTGCATAGAACTAGCTCATTTACAAAAAGTCAAATTTGTATACTTAAAGTAGTGGGTATGCAAAGACAATATGCCAAAGGAATGCATATAAAAATTGGATAAATACATCCAATGAAGCTGTGGTCCACTTCTCCAAGACTGAACTGGAAGTGTGTAATCACTGGTGCACACTCATCCAGAAGGCCTGTGTGATTATGCAGCTTGTAACTTACAGTATGGATTTGTTCCAGGGGAAAGGGGCTTCTGGATTGTGAACACTGCCCCCATCTCTGCTTTCAGAGTTCTGTCTCTAAAGAAAACACTTTCACCCTGGCCGGGTTACTCAGCTGGTTAGAGCGTCACCCCATTATTCCAAGGTTGTGGGTTCAATCCCTGGTCAGGGCACATATAAGAATGAACCAATGAATGCATAAATAAGTAGAACAACAAATCTCTCTCTTCTCTCTCTCTCTCTCTCTCTCTCTCTCTCTCTCTCTCCCCCCCCTTTCCCTCTCTCTAAAATAAACAAAATAAAATAAAGCATAAAAAATAAAACACTTTCCTAGGGACATTTCCCTGTGCAGATGCTCTGTCTGTAGCTTGGACCTTAATTGCTGCTCATGCTGGGCTTTAATTATGTGAAATTGTTGACACCCAGGTGCAAGAAGTGTCTAAATACATAATGCAAGAGAGGAGGTTTTTGTGGTTAAGCTTAGAAGCATTTCAGGTTTTATGAATGGAATTATGCCCCAAGCAGACGTTTATCTATGATGGACTGAAAAGTTTTCCATGGGATATTTTGAAGAGGTTATTCAAAATTATGTTGTGGAAAAATTACTTTACTTGGAAATAACATTCCTTTCTCCTGACATCATGCCTTCATAGTCTTACTGAAAGAAAGTGAAATTGTTCAGAATTTTAGCCATTTGGGGTTTCCCAGGCCAAACATGGACATATTGAACATGGAAGACTGGAAGAACCCAGCAAGGAACATAGTTAGATTAATTGCTGCCCACCCTGAGAAATAATTCTGGGTTTCTCTTCCCACATCTTCTCCACAGGTCCATTCATTGTAGAGTCAACAGACAGCTTTTAGAATTAATGTGGTAAGAAGTCCAAAAATGTACACATACTATTCTTGAAGTAGTTATACATTACATTTTTTCTAGGTTGTTTCTGAATATTTTAATGAGCTTATAAATGAGAAAATGTTTTGAAAGATTTTTGTGACATGTTATATAAATATAACATTAGTTTTAAGAATATCTGAATTTGCATTTTTTATGAATAAACATAAAAATTAGAGAGAAAACATTTTTTTTCACATCAACAAGGATTGTCATGTTTGAAGAATCTAGTTATGTAGAATGTGAGTTATGACATTTCACTTTAATATGATTCTGCACACCTAGTTTTAATTTTTAAATCTGATTTAATTATGATTTTGACAATCGGTTATTGAATGAGGTAGTCCACATTGCCTGGATATTTGCTGTATCTGGTTTCTAGTCCACAAGTAATTAAGTACAATATATCAGTTATTTTTTTTCTTTATGTTTAATAGGAGTGCTATGAACATTGAGAATATATTTCTTTTAGTGGTACATCGTTCTTGAGAAAAGTCTTGATTTTTACATTGCCATTTGCAATATTTTTAGCAGCTTGCTACAATATCATTTTAATAAAAATAAAGTGTACTCAGTGATGATAGAGAAAATATTGTTAAAGACATCTTGGGACAGGAAAAGGCTCAGTCGTAGTCACGTGCTTATTCATTTTCAGCTGCGTCATTCTGACTCATTACTTTCATGAATAATTATAATATTGCTACACAGTCCATTGTACTGAGCAGAACTTGCCTTGAACTTCACATGGAGGTTGAGTAGAGCGCTTGTATTTGTGTTTTGAAGTACTCTCTCAGCTCAGGTCTCTTAGCCTTTAGTGTTGGTGTCAGCAAGCCATTTTGAACTGAGAACATGTCAGAATGGATGTGAATGGCTTTTACCTATAAACCAAAGGCAGAACGCATATTTATCAGGAATATAACACAGCATTTATAGCATACATGACAAAAGTAAACAGGCACATGGGAATAGCTCTCAATAAAAATACACTACGCCTTTTTAAAACTCAAAACTATGTTAATAACATGTCAGCCTATTTGACATGCCTAAAAGCTGCCTTCTTTTCCTTCTTACTCCTCCTTACTCTGTGTCAGGCATTGAGGACACGAAGAGGAATCATGGGTGCCCCTGCCCTCAGGGAGTGCAGTCACACCCAGTAGAGCAGACACACTGGGCAGTCATTAGTCGATCTCCTTTTTTCCTTCCCTGAATATGAACCATGCCCACAGCTGAGGCAGCTACGTTGTGACCATAGGTGACAGCCAACACACTAAGAGTGGAGAGTAGGAAGACAGGCAGAGCCTAGGTCTTTGAGGACCTGTACCTACCTTGGATGGCCTATCTTTGGCCTTCTTATGTGAGAAAAAACACAGAAATGCATCCTATGTGTTTAAGACACTGTGGGTTTTCTGTTAGAGCTGAATGTATTTCTGATAGAGCACCTAACCCAGGCTTGAGCCGATTCATTGAAAAGAGATGCCAAGTTGAACTCTGAAGGATAAATAGGCTTTAGCCAGATGAAGAAAACAAGGGGAAGGGGAGTGGTTGCTGCCATCTGGTCTGAGTAGAAGGAGGGTGCTCCAGGCAGCAGGAGCATGTGCCAGAGCACATTTGGGACATTGCAAGTGTAGGCTGAAGCACATACTAGTAGTACAAATGAAGAAGAGCGAGACAGGGCTGGAGAGGTAGACCGAATTATAAAGGACTAATATGCCAAGGTAGGGAATTTGGAAATAATACTCTAAATAATTTTTTAAAGCTAAACAGCGAGAGACAGAACCAGAGTGGCTCTTTAGATTGATTAATCTGTTACTGGATTGAAGTGAGGTAAAAGTGGAAGTTGGAAGATCAGCCAAGAGGCAAGATTGCTGGTGATTTGGGCCATGAGTTTGCTATGGAGACAGAAATAGATTTCAGGGGTAGAAAGGACAGGTCTTAGAATTGGTTTGGGTAAGTGGTAAAGAAGAGATGATCATGGTTCTAGGTTTCTGCTTGGGCAGAAAAACTGGAGGAGCAGAAAGATTCTTCGGAGGTGGGAAGATCAAGTATTCATGTAAAGTTTGAAATGCTTCTGAGACACCAAGCGGTCTTTGGACATTGGCCTTATAAGTATTAGTATGAAGGACAGAACTGCAGCCTAGACTTGAGACAGGGAGGAGTGACTGAAGAAAGGAACTGGAATGTGGGTTACAAAGGCAGGAAAACAAGAGAGAGATCATTGCTTCAGGTGCTACTGTCCTGTGAGAACTGTTAATAAAATCAATGGGCACAATTAGGAAATGTTACTTCAAAAATCAATGTATATACCATCTCATACCCATTAGGATGGCCATCATCAAAAAAACAGAGAATAAAAAGTGTAGGTGAAGAGACAGAGAAATTGGAACCCCTTGTGCATTGTTAGTGGGAATGTAAAATGGCGCAGCGACTATAGAAGCCAGTATGGCAGTTCCTCAAATTTTTAAAAATAGAATTACCATATGACCCTAGTAATTCCACTTTTGGGTATTCCCCAAAAGTGGAATTGAAAGCAGGTTTCCAAAAGACAATTATATGGCCATGTTCACAGCAGCATTATTCACAATAGCTAAAATGTCGGAGCAATCCAAATGTCCATCAGTGGATGAATGGATAAGCAAAATGTGGAACATTATTCACTGTAAAAAGGAAGGAAATTCTGACATATGTTACAACACAGATGAACCTTGAGGACATTATGCTAAGTGAAATAAGCAAGTGGCAAAAAGACAAATGCAAATATATGAAGTACTTAGAGTAGTCAAAGTCATAGAAACAGAAAGTAAAATGGTGGTTGCCAGGAGCTGGGAGGGGGTGGAATTGGGAGTTATTGCTTAATGACACTACAGAGTTTTAGTTTTACAAGATAAAAAGAATTATTGAGATGGATAGTGGTGATGTTTGTACAATATTACAAGTGTAAAAACAGTTAAGATGATAAATTTTTTATGTGTATTTTACTACAAAAAAAGGAAAAAAATCAGTGTATGCAAATAGTTGCAAAAATTCAATATGACACCGATAATTTTCAAAATCTCTGATGCTAACAGTTTAGTGCCCTGGCTGGCAGGTATTTTGAGATGGCAAAGAATTCTTTGCTGAGAAAACTCTCCCTTACATTCACTGATTTTTCAGATAAAAAACTCAATATATGTCCTGGCCAGTGATGTTCAGTGGTTAGAGTGTCAGCCCACGCACCTAAAGGTCGCAGGTTTGATTCCCGGTCAAAGGCACATATCTGTGTTGCAGGTTTGATCTCTGGTTCTGGTTGGGGTGCATGAGGGAGGCAACCAATCAATGTGTCTCTCACATTGATCTATCTTTCTTTCTTTCTCTCTCTCTCTCTCTCTCTCTCTCTTTTTCTCTCCTTCCCCCTTCATCCCTCCCTTCTCTCTCTAAAAAAGCAATGGAAAGAATATCCTTGGTTGAGGGTTAAAAAAAAAAGTACTGTAAATTTAAATATTGTATTGGAATAAAATATCTTAAAAGTGTCAATTTATGCCAACTTATTAAAGCACAGAACTTTTCATAATTTATAATGAAATACGTTTACTATACAATATTGCTTATAGATAATAAACACAGAGTGAATGATTTAGGACAGAGAATAGAGTAGAAAAAAATATTTAAATTAAATAGGAAAATGCTAAATTCATTTCTAATTTAAAGGCGCTTTCATTAGGTAAGTATTCATTTCAATGACAGGAAATACAATAAAATATTTTTAATGAGGGCTTCCCAGTCAGAATTTGAAAAAACTATTAAGTGTTGAAGTTTACTTTGTATTGCCTATGCAAATAAAGCACATAAAAGTCAAGAAAAACGGTTAAACAAGAGTTAAGTATGCTCAAATACTTCCCCAAGTACCTACATTAAAAAATTATTGTTATTTTAAAGGCTTCCTGCCTACTCATTAAAATATATCTTCCAAAGATCTCCATAAATTAATGGTTGGCTTAGTTCCAGGAACTGTCGGTTTCTGGAAATTAATTTACATTAATATTTTATCTAATTCAAAGTTTAATTCATATCAATCCTGCCCAGTAATTCTGAACTCTTAAAGTTTTTATTGAATGATTTAAGCCTTGGACTTGGATACCTATCTGTGTGTATGTATATTTCTTCAAAAATTAGTGTTAAGCCTTAATTGATCACTCATATTTGCGGGAAAGGGGACAGAACAGGCTGACGATGGATTATGGGTTAACTCAATTTCTGTTGCACTCTGTAGCAGCAGCGGACTCTCCGCTGGCATGAGGCCTGGTGTTTGCTCTCCTGTGGTCAGCTGAGGGCACACACTGGCTGTGGTGGGGAGGATGTCACAGACCAACAAAGAGGTGACAGAGTTGGCAATAAAACTCAGGCCTCTCAGGTGCCACATGACTTCTCTGTATTTGACGTTACCATGGTGAAGGCAGATTAGTAGAGCAGTAACTCTGCTTAAGGCTTATGGAAAGTCAAAAACATGTCTCCTTTCAGTGAAAGCTCTAACTTGCACAATGGTTAACACTGGAAACATAGCCAAAGGTACCTTTTTAACATAAGCTTAAGAGTTGGTAGTCTTCCAGGAAGAGGATTCTAGATGTTATGATTCCCCACATGCCCTGGGGTAGGTCATATATCCCAAACCCAGAAGGGGGCGTGCAAGGCCTTAGGAGTCACAGGAACTAATCAGTTGAGTAATCCTGTCCCAGGCCTCCTGCGTCCCCAGTGCCCTCAGAGCCAGCCCTTGAGGCCAGCACATAAGCCCAGACCAGACAGGCCTCCGACCACCAGTCTGTGGCCCCTGCTCAATCTGGTCAACAGCTTCCTTATGGAAGGGCAATAAAGTCAGTTCTACCACATTTAGAAATTTAAATAATTATTATGCCAGACTGACCTTTCATTCAGAAAGATAAATATAACTTGCTGAGTATCTCAGATTCTATAATTTTTATTTTTATAATTTTATGAAGATTTATTCATCCACGACTTATTTGCCCTAAAACATGCTGTCAGATGAGAGTAATGTAATGTTTCTCAAGCTAGGTTAATGTAAAGATCTATTTAAAAAAAACAAAACAAACAAAATAAATGATTCTCAGACCCCTTAGTTTGAAACTTAAAAAAAATTAGTCTTAAACTGTGGAAATGTTTTTTAATTGCAAGCAATTGCTCCAAGAGTTTCATATTTAAGACTGGTTTTAAAAATGTTTTTATGTTATCATCAAAATGAGCATGTAAAATTTGAAATTCTCATAAGCCTTGCAGATCCCTAATACCACACTGGGCTAGTCCTGACGCTGCCTGGGAGCATGCCAATCACCACCTCTTATGTGGCAAGTAAGTACTGGGCATGCCCAAAAGAGTGACAAGCTAAGGGACCACTTGATTTTTTAAAAGTGAATTTACTGGGGAGACATTGGTTAGTAAAATTATGTAGGTTCCAGGTGTACCCTATTGGAGAAACAGTTTTATGAAAAACAATTATGTTAATTACATACTAGGAAACATTAAAAATCAGTATATTAGTATCTTTCTGCTTAATAAATTTTTCTTTTTGGATTTTTGATTAAAGAGGATGTATAAACGGTATATGTAAGTAGGACAAAGTATGCTTATGAACTCAGTTACAGTAAGAACCCCAACCTAGCAAAGACAGAAGGTCTTAGAGGACTACTGTGTCCTCTCCTAATATATTCTTTGTCTCTTCCTCTTTGTAGAGGGCATGCTGGGCTAATGGATCATTGGCCCAAGGAGCACAATTTTTCCGATGTCCTAGCAAGAAAGCTTGCCTGCGATAGTCAAGAAGAGTGTCCCCATAAAAGTAAAAATAACACAGGGATCTGGTCTGGGCAGTTGCAGGCATCTTGGAGACAGATCATGTACACATGATCCGGTGGTGAAGGCCAGGGTAATATTTCAGCTTTATGAACATTTGTGATTACAAGGACAACGAGCAGTCTCACTCGATATATGACCTATTTTAGTTTGGACGCAGGCTGCTGTGGTCAGGGTAGAACAGGCCTTCAGGGGTCTGTTGGTGCTAAGCCTGCCTGCAGGCCACAGCATAGAGGGTGGGGAATCCAGGTCAGGGTCACTGTGGGCTAGTTTAATTTTCATCACTGTGTGAAGGGCTGAAACAAGTATGGGGAAGGTTCCAGTTACCTGTTCAAAAGAATGGAGTCCACTTTCTTTTCCTAACCTCACCATATCTTCCAAAATGGCTTTCTTCAGCTCCTGAATTGAATCATATAGGTAAAATTACAATATCAAAAACACATTTCATACCAACACTCCCTCCCACACCTCCAACTGGAGCTGACACTCCCTGGCAGCATGCCAACACCACCTCTCATCTGGCAAAGAAGTACCAGGCATGCCCAAAGGAGTGACAGGCTAAGGGACCACTTGATTTTTTTCTAATTGAATTTATTGGGGTAACATTGGTTAATAAAATTATATAGGTTTCAGGTATACAATTCCATAATACACCATCTGTATATTGTATTGTGTGCTCAGCACCCCAAGTCAACATGATGTTTTTTGTTGTTGTTTTTTGCCGCGCCTCGCCCCCGCATGATGTTTTTAAGTGGCCCTCTGGTCAGCCTGGTGAGTCCCGGGGCCCCCTAACCCCCGGAAGAGCCCAGGGCCTAGTGGAATCGATAGGGCCTGTGGTTGCTGCTGAGAAATGGACCATGTGACTGGAGGGGCTGAGGCTGAGACAGCACAGAGATCCTCTTCCAGAGGTCCCTCCATGTACCATGAAGATTCTTAAGGTGTGAGTGGCTAATGCTCTAAGCATGAAGAACTGTGTTACTTTGTCAATTCCATGACTGTCTCTCTAAGCCCAGTAGATACAAAATCCACCTCACACTTGGAGAGAGCATGGCCAGTAGGCAGAAGGCCTAAGCTCACATCTGACACTGCTGTTAACCAGCTGTGTGGCTGTGGGCAAGCCGCAATCCTCTGTGGACTCTCCTGCAAGCTGCAAAACAAGAGGCCTGGACAAACTTCCTGTGATGTCTTCTAGCTCAAAAATTCAATAGTTTTATCAAACTTTCTAAGAAGAAATGTGAGTCTGGTTTAGAATGCCCACCATGTATAAAGTTAGAAATTTCCCTACATGTTCGAATTTCGCCTGTCTGCTATTTTCCTGTTCTCTCATAATGCAGTATCCAAAAAGGTCCAGCAACCTTTTAGGAAACAGCCACACTATACAGACCTTATTTACACAGAGCTCTGAGTATGTCCCTTCAATTCCTCTCTTCTGTGCCCAGGAGGGCATGACTTCAGGGTCAGGCACAACAATGCCCACCAAAAAGGCCTGCAATCCCACCAAAGAAAAACAAGTCATGATGAAAGCACTTTTTTCCCTAGTCACCATATTTATTTTGATTTTTTTTCTAAAAACATTAAAACGTTTCTGAAATAGATACAAAATTAAAGATACTAGTACAAGATATACCAATCACCAAAATAAAACAATCACCAAAATTGACAAAAGCTTTTTATCATCACAAAAGCCCTTATATTATTATCTTTAAACATTTATTAAAGTATAGTTGACATACAATATTATATTAATGAAAAAAGTTTTTAAAGTGGTTATCTGTAGTCCAGCAGTAAAAATAATCTCTTGGTATGCTCAGACTCTACCCTTTTCTAAAAATAAGTAGATGGCTATGTTATGAAACATTTCCACCAATATATCACACATTGACTATTTATTTTCTGATATTTACCTAACTTTGTAAAAAAATTAATAAAGAATAAACCTAAGGAGATTAAGCATCAATAAAGTTAGACCTACATGTACCTTTAATTCTCATGCTAAACTCAAATGAGTACATCTTCAGGATGGTAAACAAATAACTCGATGAACCAAAATATGTTTCTCAGGATTTCCTGACATTTTAACATTAATATGGTCTTTTATTTTATTAACATGGTTCATTAAATGATTAAAAATAATTTCATAATATTTAATTATAGCAATCCAATTAATGCAGGCTGTATTCGTAGCGATCTTTCTGACTTTATAAGTACCGCGCGCGCTAACCGATTGCGCCACTGGAGCTCCCTTTCTGACTTTAAATCTAATTGATGTTGAAGGGTCTCGGGTTCAATTCCTCTCAAGGGCACATATCTGGGTTGCGGGCTCAATCCCCAGCCCCAATCCGGGGCGTGTGTGGGAGTGTCTCTCTCACAGCAATGTTTCTCTCACTCTGTCTCTCCCTCTGCCTTCCACTCTCTCTAAAAAAAATCAATAGAAAAAAATATCCTCGGCCTTAGCCGATTTGGCTCAGTGGACAGAGCGTCGGCCTCTGGACTGAAGGGTCCCAGGTTCAATTCCGATCAAGGGCACATGCCTGGGTTGTGGGCTCGATTTCTAGTAGGGGGTGTGCAGGAGGCAGCTGATCAATGATTCTCTCTCTCCCTCTCCCTTCCTCTCTGAAATCAATAAAAATATATTTAAAAAGAAAAATATCCTCGGGTAAGGATTAACGACAACAACAAAAAAAGTAGTGGGTACAGCACAGGGAATATAGTCACTATTGTAATAACTATGTATGGTGACAGATGGGTACTAGGCTTACTGGGGTAAGCATGTTGCAAGTTATGCAAATATCAAATCACTGGGTTGTACACCTGAAACTAATATAATATTGTATGTCAACTATAATTGAAAAACAAATTTTTAAAAACACACACACATGAAGTTAAAAGTAGTGGGAGTGTCCATTACTATAACTTCAAGCAACTTATCGCCTAATTGCAATTTATCAAACCCTAAATAATTAAGATTTCTTCTTTAACAAGGAATTTTCTTTCATAATCTAATAAGTAGGTGAATACGGTGTCTGATTAAAAATTAACATTTACTGCTTAATCAAATACCAAATACTTAGGAAATCATTCTGAGCTAACTCTAGATTTTTTCAGCAGGCCCAGCACCTGTGGGAGGGCTGGAGCACAGGGGACTCACCTGTAAGCTGTCCCCATGGACATAGGTTTGTGCCACAGGCTCACTCCGGGTATAGATGTTCTCAATCTTCTCAGGTGCAACATATTCTCCCTGAGCAAGTTTAAATATGTGCTTCTTCCGATCAATAATTTTAAGAGTTCCCGCCTGTGGAGTTGGACAAACAGCTTCATAAAAAGATGGCATCCTCTGAGCCTCAAGCCATCACTCCATAGTGCCATAGTCCCTCACTCCTGTCCCGCCCCACCTCGCAGACTCCACCCAGATCTGCTCCTCTGTGACTTCTCTGATCTTGACAGCCACCGTGCACAGGGGTGGATGGCTCAAGCTCTGTCCTGAATGACCTCAGCATTGACCCCCTCCCTTGCTCCCCCTCCTCCTCAGAAGGCCCACTTGTCTTCCCACCAGGGCGTCCCTCTCGCCCAGGCCCTTGCTCTAGCTGTCCCTTTTCTCACGGCATCTTCAGATTTTCCCCCATAAGCCATGCTTAGGACTCTCGCCCCAGCTACTGCCCCAACCCCAAAGAGTGCCTCCACCCACAGCACACAGCCCCCAGTGAGTTCCTCCTGACCAGCCGGATGGCCAGGGCCTCTGCAGCAGGCAGGCCACCCCTTGGGCAGTGAGTGCCTGTGCTCCTGGTCTCCAGGACCCCCCTGACCTCCCTGCCTCCCCTCAACCTTTTTTGAGTTTCCTAAGTGGGTCTCTCTCCTTTGGCTCAACCTTGAATGTTGCACATTCCTCACCTCCACTGACATGCGCCTTGAGGTTAAGCACCATTTATCTCTTCATTGGCCACTCCCACGTCTGTCTAAGCTTCCAGCCAGACCTGTCACTGAGCGCCAGACCCAGAACTTAACTCTCCTCAGGACTCAGAAACAAGGGTGGTTGCATATGCGACATTCCCTCAAAGGAAGCTCCTCACTGTCCTCCTCGCGCCTGTCCCAGCCCCCAAGCCCTAACACTGGAGATGGCCTTGCCATTTGCCTTTCCTGGGACCTCCAGCAGTCAGGCTCATCCACCCTCGCTCACAAGCCTCTCTCCATCAAACCACTTCCTGACCGGCCAGCCCTTTGCACACACTCTGTTCGTGCCCCATCTCTATGACCCACCAGAACCAGAGCCATCTCTCCAGAAGAGAAAAACAAGGGGAGAACCAAGATGGCGGCATAGGTTAACGCCGGAGTTTGCTGCTTTGAACAACTACTTCAAAAGTGAAACCAAAAAACGGAAGGGACATCACCCAGAACCACAGGAACGCTGGCTGAGTGGAAGTCCTACAACTAGGAGGAAAGAGAAACGCATACGGACACTCAGAGGAGGCGCAGTGCTGAAGTCAAATTCTGAGGTGCGGAGTGTGCGGAGCGGGCTGGCGGCAGAGGGCGCGGTTGGCGTTTTCAATCGGGAGGGAGTCGCAGACTCTGAGCTCCAGATACAGGCGAGTCTTTAGGGACCCAGACTCAAACGGGAGAAGCGGGACTGTCTGGCTTCGGTCAGAGCGAGTGCAGCTTTCTCTCTGAGCTTTGCAGTGGGTGCTGCGACTCAGAGAGGCAGAGCCCCTGGGGACAGGACTGAGAGCCGCCATAACTGCTCTCTCCGGCCCACACTGTTGATCCTGTTCGACCCGCCCCGCCCAAGCCCTGCACACAGGCATTTGCCGGATAGCCTCAGGCAAAGGCTAGATTAGCACCTCCCTAGAGGACAGAAGTTTTCTCACTGCTGACACAGCTGATTCTCATAGCCACTCGGCCTGGAGGTCAAACCCTCCCTGGAATTAGCTACAACAATCAAGATTTAACTATAAGACTGCGAACAAAGACCACTAGGGGGTGCACCAAGGAAGCATAACAAAATGTGGAGACAAAGAAACAGGACAAAATTGTCAATGGAAGATATAGAGTTCAGAACCACACTTTTAAGGTCTCTCAAGAACTGTTTAGAAGCCGCCGATAAACTTAATGAGATCTACAAGAAAACTAATAAGACCCTCGATCTTATATTGGGGAACCAACTAGAAATTAAGCATACACGGACTGAAATAACGAATATTATACAGACTCCCGACAGCAGACCAGAGGAGCGCAAGAATCAAGTCAATGATTTGAAATGTGAGGAAGCAAAAAACACCCAACCGGAAAAGCAAAATGAAAAAAGAATCCAAAAATGCGAGCATAGTGTAAGGAGCCTCTGGGACAGCTTCAAGCGTACCAACATCAGAATTATAGGGGTGCCAGAAGATGAGAGAGAGCAAGATATTGAAAACCTATTTGAAGAAATAATGACAGAAAACTTCCCCTACCTGGTGAAAGAAATGGACTTACAGGTCCAAGAAGCGCGGAGAACCCCAAACAAAAGGAATCCAAAGAGGACCACACCAAGACACATCATAATTAAAATGCCAAGAGCAAAAGATAAAGAGAGAATCTTAAAAACAGCAAGAGAAAGAAACTCAGTTACCTACAAGGGAATACCCATACGACTGTCAGCTGATTTCTCAACAGAAACTTTGCAGGCCAGAAGGGAGTGGCAAGAAATATTCAAAGTGATGAATACCAAGAACCTACAACCAAGATTACTTTATCCAGCAAAGCTATCATTCAGAATTGAAGGTCAGATAAAGAGCTTCACAGATAAGGAAAAGCTAAAGGAGTTCATCACCACCAAACCAGGATTATATGAAATGCTGAAAGGTATCCTTTAAGAAGAGGAAGAGGAAGAGGAAGAAAAAGGTAAAGATACAAATTATGAACAACAAATATGCATCTATCAACAAGTGAATCTAAGAATCAAGTGAATAAATAATCTGATGAACAGAATGAACTGTTGATTATAATAGAATCAGGGACATAGAAAGGGAATGGACTGACTATTCCTGGGGGGGAAAGGGGTGTGGGAGATGCGGGAAGAGACTGGACAAAAATCGTGCACCTATGGATGAGGACAGTGGGTGGGGAGTGAGGGCGGAGGGTGGGGCGGGAACTGGGAGGAGGGGAGTTATGGGGGGAAAAAAAGAGGAACAAATGTAATAATCTGAACAATAAAGATTTAATTAAAGAAAAAAAAAAAAAAAAAACCAGCAGGCCCTGCTTTGCTCAAAACCCAGGCTGGACAACACACGCATTCCCCACACTGGCTTCTTTGGTATTCATGGTACTCTATGCACTGGGTGTCATCACCTCCATTGCATAGATAAGGAAAGGGAGGATCAGAGAGGTTACTTAACTTCTTCAAAGCCACACAGCTAGGAGGTAGGGGAACCAGGATTTTAAATCAGGTCTTTCTGGATCAGAAATATATACCTTTTCCTTGTATCTAATACTATTTCAAAACACTACTTTAAAAAATTTAACTCCCACAGACTGCCTGCCTGTTGTCTTGGGCTTTTACTTCAAGCAAAACACTAGGTACTTCACATGAATTAATTTACATGCTTCTCACAACACCCTGCAGGGTAGGTCATATCATCCTAGTTATGGGGCATCAGTGGCAGAGCCAAGGCTTTGTGAGGCTTTAAGCTTTTTCTAACTTTGAGGATCCTCTTTAAGAAAAATAATATAAGATGAAGTACAGAACCTTGGAAGGGGCCTATGCAAGTGAAGGGACCTGAAGCCTAAGCTTTCTTAGCTGATGGGACAATCTACTCTCCATCAGTGTCCAGGGCCCCGCTGACTTCTCCCGTCTGCCTCTTCCACCCGTGGACCCTCAATTAGATCTGACTGCTTCACTCCTCTAGTGTCTCTCCACTCAGCACGTGCTGTGACTCCTGCCCTGACTGTCCTTCCCTGGCCCAGGGCACACATCAAGGAACATCCTCAACTGCTGCAGGATTGAGCGTTTCTCAAAGGGAAGCACACAGACCCAAGCAGGGGCAAACAGCTCGCCAGCCACTCACGTGACCAGTAAACTCAGCATCTCAGAACGCCCACCAGAACCTTAGAGAGACTCCTTGGGCAGGCTGTGTCAGGCAAGGGCCCTCAGTTTCAGCAACAGAGCCTTTTTCTGCTCATAGCTTTCATCTAAGCATCTCCTGTGTGTCAGGCTTTGTGCCAATTGCTTTACATGTATAATCTCACTTATTCCTCACAATAACTGTGCAGGTAAGCCATGGTGTTATCCCCATTTTATAAATGACAGAATGAGGCACAACAGCTGATTTGGGCTACAAGCTGATTTGGGCCACAGCCAGTTTCCCGTAGCTTCACACTCTTATTCTACAAGTGAGTCCCAGAGTCCTCATCCCGAGAGGGATGAGGCTTTGCTCATGGTCACAAGAGCCACTGCTGTCAGAGCCACAGGAACGCAGCCATTTTGGGGCTCAGCGTCAAGTTTTCCTCCTGCTCAGGGCCACTTCTCAGCGGGGGCCAGCGTCCTGGGCTCCCACCGCTGCCTTTCTCAGGCCTCCGAGAACTATGAACTCCTGCTCCTTGTACTCCACCCCCCAGATTCCACAGCACTGCAGGTCTTTCTGGAAACCAGAAAGGGTAGGCAGTGGGCCCCACATTCCAACTATATCCTCCCACAAAGATCCCTATCTCCCGCCTCAGGAGTGTGGAGGAGAAAGCGTTGGGGGCAAGGTTAAGACAAACCTCTTAATCCCTGAAGGTGTTCCTGAATGACTAGCTGTCAGGCAGGACATGGAGAAGACCCCTGCCTCAGAGTGAATCGGATTTACACCCACCACCCAAGTGCTTGGAGCTCCAGGCTTCCCAACACACGCACCGGCAGCCACTGCCCAATGTCTCCAGTGTGGAGCCAGCCGTCGCTGTCCAGGGCCTCCTTTGTCTTGTCTGGATCTTTCAGGTAACCTTTGAACACATTTGGTCCTCTCACACATATCTGCAGGGACAAACACCGGTTTCTCTCAGCCCACAGCGTAAGGATCCTGATGTGAGGCTGTCAGGGGCAAGTGTAGAAGACTGTACGCTATCCCCCAGGAAATCCACTGTGCAGACGGCAGTGATGACAACAGAGGACAGAACAGCCACCAGCTGTACCTCAAGCTGCATCCTCTCCATCTCTCCTCTCTGCCCTGGCCACCCCAGGCCTCCTCCACCATCTCTTCTTTCTTGGGAACCCCCTGGCCTTCGGCAGGTGCTGCTTTGTGACACTGGGTGGGGTCACATCAGATATTGATGGCCGGCTGGTTCTACCAGAGAGGCTCAGCCCCTGCCTCACCAGGCAGCCAGGCAGCTTCTACCCACTCGCATGGAATGAATGAGTATCTACCCCACCTGGCCTATCTGCAAATAGCTATGTTTCTGCTGGGACAGATTCACAGCAGCAGGCCATGCCACTTAGAGGGAAAATAGGATTTTTTTTTAAAGTTTGAAAATTATAAATCTTGAGTTAGACCAGCCCTGCCGTAGTCTTGTTTCATAAACAGAAGAGGGAGGAAATACTGAATTCAGTTGAGTCAAATTAAGCAGAAATTTAAAGTGACTTTACACCGAGGGTAAAAGAAAAATAATTCCATTTTTCCCCCTTTATTCATTACATGCAGCCTCCACAGACACGAATGGCTAAATGCTGAAGTTTACCTCTCCCTCTCCTTTGTGGGTCCAATAGTTCAGTTCCACGACGTCGACGAGCTTGATGTGATTGCAGGGCAGAGGCGCCCCCACGTGCCCTAGAACAAACACCGGAGCAATGTGGCATGGTCAGTGTCCAGTCCACTTCAGCACTGAAGACGCTCCATGCCATGTAACCCCCCCAGGTGGTCAGGGTAGGGAATTATGGGCGAAAAGCAAAACACATTTAGACAGGCATGTGTCATAGGCAAGCGCTGACAATAAAACAAAGTTCTGGAGAAGGGAGAGGCCAGCCTTTGCAGACCTTTGTTTTACATCTGATTCTTAAAGAGCTGGACAGGCACGCCAGCCTGGCACCAACCTGCAGAGTCTGTGGGGCTCACACCCACACCGACCACACGGTCAGGAATTTTTTGCCTCTGTTGAAAGACTTTCCCCTTTGTCAGATCACAAGTCTTGGTTTGTTTGGGGTTCATAAAATAAGGTCATCATTGCTTTTCCTCCAGACACCAGACTGTTGTGCCCAGGAATCATCTAGGAATCTTGTTAAACTGCAGATTCTGACTCAGTGGGTCTGGGATGAACCCTGAGATTCTGCATGTCACACAGGGACGCAGGGGATGATGCTTCTGGTCCACACACTACACTGAGTAACAAAGGAATGGAAACCAGGACAAGGTAATTCGACCCTAAAAAACAACTTCTAATTTTCTTGATCTTGTAATTTCCAGCCACAAAATTACATTTTCTAGTAATTTGTGTGAGTGTGGTTGTTACAGAATTCACTGTAATAAGGTGCTGGCCAAGGTCCTGAAGGGACCGTGAGCGACAGAGCCATGGAATAAAAAATGAGGCGGTGACACTTCATTTTCTCTTTTAAAGGAGAGGTTGAAAAACCTTTCACAATTCGTACAAAGACATCTATCTTCTCATACTCAATAGCCTTTGCAAGTTTTTATGGTAAGGATGAATAAAAAAGGCAAAACTCAAAAGTCTTACCTAGGAAAATGCGGAGAATGACATAGAGGGAAGTAAGTATCCGAAAGGAAGGGCATACGTGAGAGTGATTGGCAAACATAATGGCAACAATAATAAAAGAATAGTGAACCAGGACCCCAGAAGACAGTCCTTGTAGATTTGCCCGTGGTAGAAAGATCAAAGAATTTATACACCAAAGGCTTCATTCAGCTAGAATTTAAAAGATAAAACTCGGGAAAAAATGCTTCTGTACTTGACTTGGCCAAATCGGATTTTGATTTAGACTCCACCTATCATGTTTCTGCTGACTACCTCAAGGTGCCCTGAAAACAAGATTGCATTACTGGGCATATTTCTTGTGCATGCACATTATCCCAAGTTTTTCCTGTTTGCAGTTGAGCAAACTAAAGCATGAGAGTGGAAAGCACAGAGAAAGTTGGTGCCCTAAAGGATTCCTTTGCTGGATGGTGTTTAGTCTTCCAGTATCTGGTCTAAATTTGTGATGGACCACACAGGGACTACCTGCTGCTTCCTCCTTACCCTGAAAGATGAGTCTCTTCAGAATGAGGCAGTGGGTGGGATCTGCTCCTTCCTGAGGCTGCCACTGCCTTCTAGACACTAATGTCATAGGAGACTGTAGTTCCCAAGGGCCTTGGAAATGGCCCTTTAAGAAATAGTGCTTTGGCCACTAGGAATTTGCTTCTCCAATTCATAATTGTAATCTTTCAATAGGGCACGATTGTAAAAAATCCTGATTGTAATCATAATCAATTCATAGCCTGCTTCCTTCATTCTACGCCCAGCGAGCATGGCTCAGTGGTAGAGAGAGCAGAGACCTATGAACCAGGAGGTCATGGTTCGATTCCAGATCAGGGCACATGCCCGGGCTGTGGGCGCGATCCCCAGTATAGGGCATGCAGGAGGCAGCTAATCAGTGCTTCTCTCTCATCACTGATGTTCCTATCTCTCTCCTTCTCTCCCTTCCTCTCTAAAATCATTAAAAATAAATTAAAAAATAAAATAAAACCACTACAAGTGCCTGGCTGGTGTGGTTCAGTGGTTGAACCTATGAACGAGGAAGTCACAGATCGATTCCTGGTCAATCCCCAATAGGGGGCATGCAGGAGGCAACCAATTAATGATTCTCTCTTATCATTGATGTTTCTGTCTCTCCCTCTCTGAAATCAGTAAAAAAATATTTAAAAATAAAAAATAAAACAACTATAGCAAGGCTGTGTGGTATTCAGAATCTATGAAATCTAGTATACTGACATAATCATTTTTTCCTGAGTTATATTTTGGAATCTAGCACTTCTTTATTTTTTTAAAATATCTATAAAAAAATGGAAAAATGCAAAGTAAAAAACACAAAAATATGTTAACAAAGAGAACAACAGACCCATAATGGTACAACCTAGACCAGCCGTGGGCAAACTACGGCCCGCGGGCCGGATCCGGCCCGTTTGAAATGAATAAAACTATTGAAAAAAAAAGACTGTACCCTTTTATGTAATGATGTTTACTTTGACTTTATATTAGTTCACACAAACACTCCATCCATGCTTTTGTTCCGGCCCTCCGGTCCAGTTTAAGAACCCATTGTGGCCCTCGAGTCAAAAAGTTTGCCCACCCCTGACCTAGACATTACCACCATTAGTATATTTTTTCGATTTCTGCTTTTTTTCTGATGTTCCCTTGTAAATTTACTTTCCATGAGAAAATTTTGTAGCTGTTTTAATTCAGCAGTGCCTGGTGATGCACCCCCACATCTCCTGTCCATCCTACCTGAGGTCCAGTCCCCAGGTGTGGTGAAGGTACATCCAGCTGTGCACTCAGTTTGGCCGTAACCTTCATAAACCTTCAAGCAAAACATGGAAATCACATTGTAGGCACACAGCCTCTTGCAGCTGGCTGGCTGCCTGCCTCAGCCAACTAAGCTCCCACCCTGACACCTGCTGCTCCGTGCTGGGCATGGTGGGAGGGAGGTGCTCTAGGGGCAGGTAAACCCAGGTGAAGCTGAAGTGGTTTGGGGTAAAGATTTCTGACCTATTTTCAACTACTGACTCTATTTTTTATTTGGATAATATGTACTAAAGACAAGTGCTTTAAAATCTACTGTACGGTTTACTTTGTCTCTGTAAGGTATTCCCCTCCAGAGCCTCGTGTGTTTGCAGGAATAACCACATGGGAGAGTCTGCTCTTAGGAGTGGTCAGGCCACGATGGGGTAGAAGAGGCCAGCGGCTTTGAAAGTATAAAAAGTGAAGCATGCACATCGATGAAATAGTGACAGCCATGTCACTATACCCTGCATACGTAAAAACTTAATACACTTTAACCAAATGGGTCAATGAAGGAATGGAATTTTTAGCGATGACAAAACCTATTGAATCAAATGACAAAACACAAATGGACTTTCAGCATCCCCTCCCCTGTGCTCCCTTTCTGGAGTGGGCGATATTTTACAGGCTGAAGAATGCAGAGATGCTGCTACAGGTGTGCTGCAGATTCCCAGCACATTGATGCGCCACATAGTTTATCAGCCCCCTTTCCCAGACTGGATGCACCTGGGCTTTCCATATGTCAAAAGGTCATACTGGCTTTCAGTGGCACTGGGATGTTTTCATCCTCAGAGGAATGGAGCTTCTATTCCACAAAAATCTTGCCCCCCAGGGCCTTTCCCTATCCTCACACACATCTGCTTGGCCCCCGGGAAGGCCACATGAAGGTAATACCTGGCACCCCAAAGCTGCCCGAAGGAATCCCAGGACTGTTGGTGAAGCGGGGGCTGCTCCAGTCACAATCATTCGCACACACCCACCAAGGCTGGCCTGTGGGAGAGAAGAGTCTGCCAAAGTCTGTGCTTCTGGAAGTGGCGTCTAAGGCCACTCATCTTGGCCTCAGCCAAGGTCAACATTCAATAATTGGACCCCACTTGCACTCAGGATAAGGATCAGAGAAGGCCTCTGAGCTGAGGAAGTCTGTTCTTCAAAATGAACAACCCAGTCAGCTGTGCAATATGGCCAACTCTTTTACGTCTTTTGAGATAAGTGCCATTATCTATGTGGCATTCTATAATTTTGGTTCTACTTTCCTTAAAATACACAGCTATTCCCTCACTCTCCCATTATTTGCAACCATCCAAAAACAATTACTTAGGACAATTCCTTCCCACTTCCACGTTAATGGCCTAGCCTTTTTTCATTTACAAATCAATACCGTACTCTGCTCTATTTACTATGCAGTGGACAAAGAAGTCTTTAAATATGTTGTTTATGGAAGTTGAGCCAAGAGAGTTTAAATATTAATTTCCATAGCTAAAAATATAGTAAGAAAAACTGAGTAATGATACTAATTAACTACACATTCCTTGGATAATGCAGGACTTGGAAACTTTAGTGGGGATCCAGAGATGAGCAATTCATGATCAGCTGGTTTGGGAGAAGCTGAAGGGACAGGACAGAGGAAAAGCAAAGGAAGATTCTTGGGCCCAGTCCGAATGGCTCAGTGATTGCGTGTCAACCTTTGAACCAGGAGGTCACAGTTTAATTCCTGGTCAGGGCACATGCCCAGGTTGCAGGCTCAATCCCCAGTGTGGGGCGTGCAAGAGGCAGCCAATCAATGATTCTCTCTTATCACTGATGTTTCTATCTGTTTCTCCCTTCCTCTCTGAAATTAAATAAAAATTATTTTTTTTTAAAGGAAGATTCTTGGCTATCCAAGAACCTAATGCTGCTGGAAAGCCACCATGGCCAGAGCTACAAAAAGGACCAAGTGAACCTTCAGACCCCAGGAGCTCTTTGGTGGACCTGACCACCAAGCAGAGCTCCCCGTTGCCTATGGAAGTCAAAGGACCTACTTTCTAGGAGTCCTTCCTGCTGTTTGCCTTTGGACCAATATAACACATCTCCAAATAAGAAAAACGAGTCCTTTAAGATTTCAACAGTAGCTTAAGCTTTGATTTCATGACCAGTTGAGTTATTATTTTATAAGATTACTATATGCCACTGGGATGAACTTCTCTAATTCTTCTGTAAAGTCACCCATTAGACCTTTGCGTGTCTAGAATCACTTGTTCATTCTCTTACCTGAATCTTATTAAAGAAGAGCTCATCCCAGATACTATCGTTCCTGATGATTCCGCTCCGGACTTCAGCCTGTTTACGCTTTGCTGCAAACTCCAGGAGCCAGCGCTTCAGTGGTGTGTTTGCCTGGCTGAAGATCTAAGGAGCACAAGTTGGAAACAGCTGCTGGGCCTGTCCCACCTCTAGACACCCCCCTCCCCCCAGGAAGAAGGTCCAGACTAGCCAACAGAGAAGCCACACTCCATTGGACCCCTAAGGGGGTAACTGAATGTATGATAGCCAGCCCAAGGTCAATGCTACCGAGGTGTGAGCATATTTCGGGGCTAGTAATTCCTGAAGATAGGAAGGAAACAGGTGAGTCAGGGAATACAAGAAAACAGGCCATTTCCAGGACCTGCGGGTGGAAGTTTGGAAAGCCTGCCTGGGGCTTCAGACCCCATCCACCCAGGCATCTATCTACCCCTCAGCCTGGCCAGAGACTCCCTGTGGGCTCACCTTGTCGTACATCCGGTTCAGCAGTCGTGGGACCACAGGGAAGATGGTGGGGCGTAGAGCCTTCATGTCATCTGAGAGGAGACGGATGTCTCCCTGGAAGAAGCCGACGCGCCCTCCGTGGCAGTAGACAACAGACTGGAAGGGGAGAACAGGAAGGGAGGAGTCCCTCAGGGCGGGCACTCCTGGCTGCACTACAGAGCCTTCCACAGTTCTGCCCTACATGGAGGGCGCCCATGACCCCTACCCCAGCTCTGGCTGCTGCCATGAGACACTGAATAGCATCTGAGGTGACACCCTCCCTCCCTCACCTCTCCTCCTTCCCACATGGTCCCACTCAGGCACGGGGAGAAGCAGCAGGAGACGGGGTGGAGCCTTTGGGAGATATCAGAGCAGTGGATCACACTGTGCCTGCCCCTCCTGCTCACTCCCAAACCCTGGGCGGAGCTTCCCAGGGGACTCGGGTCTCTGAGCTGCACTCCACCCTGTGGCTGGGTCTGCTCAGGTCTCAGAGAGCCAGCAGTTTCCCTGGGACACCTCAGCAACTCTGGGAGGGTGATCAGTGTCCGTGAGAACTGGACGTGCTGCTGATGTTGGCAGGGAGCGCAAGGGGGAGCCTGCTGGTTGCTAGTGGGTCTAGCAGTGTGCCAGGGGCCTAATATATGCTTCTTTTAAAAAAATATTTTTATTGATTTCAGAGAGGAAGGGAGAGGGAGAAACAGAAGCATCAATGATGATAGAGAATCATTGATCGGCTGCCCCCAGCACACCCCCCTACTGGGAATCGAGTCCATAACCCAGGCATGTGCCCTTGGAATTGAACCCAGACCCTTCAGTTCACAGGCTGATGATCTACCCACTGAACCAAACCAGCTAGGGCTATGCTCCTTTCTTTAATGCTCACAGCAAACCTATAAGGGAGACAGGATTTTATATTGCCATTTTATAGGCGAGAAATGCAAAGCTGAGAGAGGTAAAGGGACCTGCCCAGTCACAAACTAGTTCGCAGTACTGCTGGCATTCTAATCTAGGTCTGGAAAGTTGAAAAACATGCTCTGATATGCCATATCTCCCCCAAGGCAAGATGGGAGAGGCTTAGAAGACAATTTATTCACACGATGGTCCCTGGAGTGACACAAGTGGGAGAATTCTTTGTGAACCCCCACCCTGCCAATACCTCTACCCCCACAAGGCCTGTCTTAGGGCCAACCACAACGCCAGTCCCATCTACAGCCTGAGGGGTCATGACAGTTTGATTGCCCACCCTTACTGCCTTTTCTTTTTTAGGGGTTCCTAAGTAATGGAAGTTATAGAACAGTGATGGCGAACCTATGACACGCGTGTCAGGTGACACGTGAACTCATTTTTTTGGTTGATTTTTCTTTGTTAAATGGCATTTAAATATATAAAATAAATATCAAAAATAAAAGTCTTTGTTTTACTATGGTTGCAAATATCAAAATATTTCTATATGTGACACGGCACCAGAGTTAAGTTAGGGTTTTTCAAAATGCTGACATGCCAAGCTCAAAAGGTTCGCCATCACTATTATAGAATATAGGTGTTTTGGCCATAAACAGAGCCATACTGCAGAGAGCTGGAGTGATAGAGCACTTCTGCACAGAGCTGCGCTGCTCCCTGAGCAATGCCATTGGCTGGGGCCTCTCTCAGCCCCAGTATGTCCACAGGTAAGATAGGGCAGACCTGGGGTCTTCCCTGGAGCAATGCTCCCAGGAGGGACAGGTGAGGTGGCCAAGATCCTCTGACCTCTGTGACCCCTGTGGTAACTTCTGAGAATAGGGCTGGTTAGGTCTACTTCCTGTGACAAGTGACACCCTGCTAGGGTTCAGGGTTCTGGGTTCTGGGTACAGATTGTGCCTCCCTAAAGCCAGGGCCTTACCTGCACCATTCGCTCAAACATGTGTGCTAAAGGCAAATAGGAAATGTGCACATCCGCACAAGTGGGAGCCCACTGACTCTGTAAGAAAACAGAAGGAGCCCAGGCAAGGCCCGGTCAGTCAGGTGGGAGTCTTACCTGGATCACTCTCTCAAACATGTGAGCCAGAGGCAGGAAGGAGATGAGCACATCGTCCTGTCTCGGAAAGATCACTTTCTGCAGGTGATGGGCATGGGAGACAGAAAGGAAAGAAACACTGACAGGAAGACAACAAGAGAGTCATAAAACAATAAAGAGAAAATGGTCCTGGAGGGGGAGGGCGGGGGGGGGGGGCACAGAGAAAGAGGTGAGATGAGAGAGGGGAAATGAGAGAGGAGAGGGAGGGAGAGAGAAAAGGCGAAGAAAAGAGAGGAAGAGAGAAGGAGTGAGCGAGAGAGAGTGAGCGAAGGAGAGAGAAGGAGTGAGCGAGCGAGAGAGAGAAAAGGTGAAGAAGAGAGAGAGAGAGAGAGAGAGAGAGGAGAGAGAGAGAGCGAGACAGGGACAGGGCAGCATAGGAAGCGGAGTGTTAGGTCACAGCGCCAATGCGTCTAGGTTATCTGCAGAAGCAAGGAGTCAAATGAAGCACATGTAAACCAGCAGAGCCGAGCTCCGCAGGGAAGTCTCCTTTTGGGAAGGGCCTGTACCTCTCACTCCAGTCAGTCGGCGCCGGACAGCCTCTCCCCCCTCCCCACAGCTGCAGGATCTGCCCTGGGCCCCATGTCACCCGCCTCCCTGGGCCACCTGGGCAGCCATTCAGAGGTCTCGGCTTGTCAGCACTTCCTAGTCCTTCCAGAGAAAGGGGCCCAGAAAACCCTAGATCAGTGATGGCGAACCTATGACACGTGTGTCAGAGGTGACACGCGAGCTCATTTTTTTGGTTGATTTTTCTTGTTAAATGGCATTTAAATATATAAAATAAATATCAAAAATGTAAATCTTTGTCTTACTATGGTTGCAAAGATCAAAAAATTTCTCTATGTGACACGGCACCAGAGTTAAGTTAGGGTTTTCCAAAATGCTGACACGCCGAGCTCAAAAGGTTCGCCATCACTGCAGATGGACACCAACTATGGCTGGGGTACACGCCCTGGAGGGGGCAAGGCCAAGCCCCAAACAGATGGTTGAGTCAGGCCTCACAAGCCACGGCCTGGAAACAGGGCCTTCAAGGGGAAGGCTGAGAGGGAGCCCTGCTGTCTCCCCTGAGCCCACGGCTCACAGATGGACTGACCTCAGGGACAGGGATGGACGAGCAGGTCTGAGATCAGGGTTGAGCCTGCCTCCAGCTTTCGTTTGCTGGACTTCCCCCCTCTCTGTCCTTCTGCAAACACCTGGACAACACCTGGGACCCTGGCTCATGGCTATTGGCTCCTGACCAGGGCTCTATCCAATAAATATCTAAGTGTTTGGGGAAATACTCTCCATACTGTCATCTGCTACGGTGTGGGTGGTGATTTTTCTCCACGGTGGTGAAAAAGGCCTCACTTATATGAAAAGGTGCATTCCTTGCTCCTGAAGGAAACTGTAGGACATTCGGATACTCACCACTTGTGGGAAAAAGGTCCTTCTTTCGTAGCCAATCAGGCCAAGATATCAAGCTTTTAAATTTTACCTTTTTAAGTACAGTCTTATAAACTAGCAGTCAATATTGTTTCTCAGACCCTAGTAGTCCTTAAACACAAAATGACTGAATGAAACCCTGGCCTACTTGAACAACAACTTATTAAAGACTAGAGACCTGGTGCACGAATTTGTGCACGGGTGGGGTCCAGCCAGGCGCCCTGATGGGGCAATCGAGGGGTGGGGCCAGCAAGGGGGGGCGGTGAGAGACTTGGGAGGTTGGCTGACCAGCCCCACCCCCTGGTCGAACTTCCGGTCAAGGGGACAATTTGCATGTTAGCCTTTTATTGTATAGGATTACTTTGTAAATAAAGGTACGTACATAACTAGAGGTAGAACAGTTTTTGAAGTTCAAAATGCAAAAACAGATTTATGTGTTTTTCCTTTTGGGATCTTAGCACTCTTAGAAATCAATTGATTATGTATCAGGTGTGGATCATTTAAATGTTGGGGGTTAAAAACATCTGTAAAAGTGGGGTTGCTCTAAAGAGAATAGAAACTCCTGCCTGTGAAAGGCAGCCCAGATTATATTAGGTAGAGGGGGTGGGGGGAGGGGGGAGAAAACAAACACCCTAAACCTCTAAAGTTTGAGGATTTCCTCGAGACACCTGCATTAGTAAGTCTACTTTATTCACCTCTGTCACTTTCAGAAAGCCTGAGAAATCAGCCACCACGTTCCCATGGGTCAGCATTGCACCTTTTGGGTTCCCTGAAAAGAGAAAGCAAGAAGGCAAATTATTCGGAAGCTCAAGGGGCACTTTTGGAGAACAGCACCCAAGTCCGCAGTCCCAGACACCCAGCGCTGTCCACCCACGCCTCTGGCTTTCGTCCACAATGCCTTCATGGTGGGAGGCGTAGGCAGATGTATGCTGCTTCAGGGACCTTTATCCTGTACCTGAAGCCCACCTGGAGGCTCCCAGCACCTTAGGCCCAGAAGGCAAGTGACACAGCGTCACAGGTGGGGTGCCTCAAGGGACTGGCCACTTGTGACCTGAGCCTCACCCTCCTGCCTCCCTCAGGGAGCACAGGCTCCTGGCTCCCGGTCTCCTCACACACTCCCAGCACCCTACGCTCCTCTCTGGGCGGGAGCAGATCTAGTCTCCAGAAACCTGCAGCAACTCTGCTGGTGGGAGACTTCCTTGCTGCATCGGTACTTGGAAGGCTCAGGTGCGGACCAAGATGAAGGCCAGAGGGCTGAAGCAGCCCTCTTGCCTGCTCCTGGGCAGGATGGGACATGGATGGCCGTGCTTTCTCGTGGCATGACCTGTCACTACTGCTTGTGAGGAAGCCAGGGCTGACTCAGAGGACCTGAGGCCTGGTGGGGACCTGCTGTAGACCAATTCCAGCATGTCATAATTTTAAGAGTTTCATCAAAAGGTTGATGAGACTTGGGGACTCAACAGGGTTGAGTCACACATGTAGTCACCATCTGGGAATGGCTAAAGACATTTCCCCAAACCTGAATAGGAAACTGATTGTGGCTGCCAGACAGTTAAAGGGCATCTTACTCTACATGTCATTGCCTCCTACTGGCCAAACACCTGAACAGCTGTAGGCTATTCCCCCATCCTGACAATAGACCCTGTACCCTTTGAAACCTTACCCTTTGAAGTGTATTATCTCCACCTTGCCTTAGGACAAATTGTGTTAATAAAAGCAAGGGTCCTAGACAAGGAGGTACTCTTCAGTTCCTTTAGCTGAAGGTCCTCTGACCCCCAATGCCTTTCAAAATTATATCTCGTGCCGAAACCGGTTTGGCTCAGTGGATAGAGCGTCGGCCTGCGGACTGAAAGGTCCCAGGTTCGATTCCGGTCAGGGGCATGTACCTGGGTTTCGGGCACATCCCCGGTGGGGGGTGTGCAGGAGGCAGCTGATCGATGTTTCTCTCTCATCGATGTTTCTGACTCTCTATCTCTCTCCCTTCCACTCTGTAAAAAATCAATAAAATATATTTAAAAAAAAATTATATCTCGTCTCCGGACTCTTTATTAGTGTCTGGATTCCTATGTCATCAACGCGCAGCCCCTTTTCCAGATTCCTGAACCCTTCTTGATGCTGGGACTTGAACCCCGGCAGGGACCCAGGCCCAGCAGGCTGGGGAGGGGGGCTGACTTGGCCACCATGTCATGTTAGGGAGGACACAACACTGGTGTGCTGCTGGCAGGTCAGACTGAGCTCAAATCCCGGCCTGGCCTCTCACTGCCAACAAGCTGTCCCTCCTCACTTTCCTTACCTGGAAAACAGGGACAGTGATACCCACCTCAGAGGACTTCTATGTGCTTTAAGGACTTGGTCCATGCACAAAAGATGTTAAACTAGAAGTTTCCACTGAGCCAGCAGATGCAATAGCTGTAAAACTCCAAGAGAGAGTGGCCAGGCCCTGTGCAGAATCCCCGTTCTCCCCCCCCAAAATATCAAGTGACCCAATATGGTATTTTGCAACCCTCACCAGAAAGCTGTAATCAGGGGCTAGTGAGTAGAAATGAAGATCATTACACTGAATCAGCAATCACCCATGATACAAAGAGCAAGTTTTAAACGTCTTTCTCAAACCATCTCCTGGCTTCCCCTTCTCACTTATTCACCCTCCCCACCTGCACGTGGTACGAGAAGGTAGGAGCCTTCACTAGCCAGAGAGGAGGAGGAGGAACACCCGACAGGAAGAGAGGAAGGGCAGGATACGCCTTCCTCACCAGGCCAGCAGCCAGCCCAGCCAGGAAGGGAGAGGTCGCAGGCAAGCGGACTGATTCATAGTTTGGAACACTTGTAATTCTGAATTAAGTCCCATCATGGCCGAGAAGAAAATCTTTCCAGAATGATTCCACCACCAAAACCACGAGCCACATGTCAGGTTCTGATCACATTTTCCATCTCTCCCACTGAGAGAACAACGTAGCTCTTGGTGAAGCTGGGCGCTGGGACACTGGGTGTGGAAGGGAAGCCACACCCGGGCTGTGATGCCAAGGACATGTGTGGCTCATGTGCTTGACAGGGAGATGACCAGAGGCACAGGCAGGCTTAGAGCAGCATCAAGGAAATCCAAGTGTGCAGCCAGGCAGGGTGACGTCAGGCAAGAGGCCTGCTCACTGCCCAGCTCTGTCCTGGCACCAGACACGCCACTGGAGTGGGAGGTGTGGCACTAATCACCACCTGTTTTCCAGTTCTGTATACCCCCCCCACCCCCCACCCCATTGCAAATCCCCACCACATGGCAGACACAAAGCCTGGGCAGGACGGCTCAGCTTTCGATTGATCCCATCGTCTGGGAAACCACTGGATGTGAGGCCTGTCATCTCCAGATGGGCAACAGCACATTTATGCACCATAAGTTCTTTTCCAGATACGGGGCAGCATCTGTGGCAGAGTGACCTGTTAAGAGCCTGAGGGCAGTCTTGAATGGCAAGGGCCGAAAGCTAAAGGCCACAGCAGACCTGCTCCCTAACCCAGGCAGGGCAGAGGGACATGTCACCAAAATGTCATGTTGTGAAACTCATGACACAAAGCAACATAAGCCTGAAGGGCATTTCTGAATCCTGCGCTGGCTCTGGATGCCAGCTCCCGGTGAGCGAGTGCTGTGTTACTTTTTCTCTAACAGGGCTTAGCAGTGTGTTGGAATTCTCAGACCCACCTGAGTTAATGGCAAAAACCCATCTCGAGCCCTGGCCCATGTGGCTCACTTGGTTGAGCGTTGTCCCATGCACCAAAAGGTCGCTGATTCCATTCCATGTCAGGGCACATTACCAGGTTGCAGGTTCCATCCCCAGTCCGGGAGCATAAGGAGGCAATCAAATGATGTTTCTCACATCGATGTTTCTCCCTCTCTCTCCGAAATCAATAAAAAATATATTTTAAAAATCCATCTCGATTCAATAAAGTTATGTTGATCAAAATTATCCATATGGGCAGGGTGCCTTAGCTCTGTATCTGCAGAAGGCATGGGGGAGGGGGGGGGCGGCCCAGTTCACTGCCCACCAAGAGCTATCAACAAGGTGGGCCAGTCTTCAGGGTGGAGAAAGATGGCGAGAAACTTCTTGCCCATTTAGGGCATTGCAAGTAACTTCTCACGTCATCAGATGAGATGGAGGCAGCGATGGGAAGAACACTGGGCTGGGAGTTGGCAGAGCAGGGCACAGGTCCAATGCTTCCATTTGCTGGTGTGTCTGCTGGGACAGTCCCATACCTGCTCATCTCACAGGCCATGCTGAGGCGCCAGTGGCGCAGTGAGCGGGTGACCGGGGCACTGCAGACTGTGAAAGGCTGCGCCTGTGCGTATTGTGCCTCCCCAGGAAGCCGTCGCTGTCTGTTCCCGCTGATGCTGATGCTGACACTTGTGCCCTCTGTCAGCACCAGGCACGCAGTGCATTCGCCTCCCTTGTCCTCTTCCTGACAGCCGTGACCGTGGCACCAGCTCCAGCCTGCAGAGCACCTGCACTCCCTTTTATACACCTTCCCATCTCCTACTTGGCACCTTTAACCATCCTCAGCACAGATGAGAAACCAGGAACAATGGTGGCAGAGGGTTACATGACTGACTTATAGCCCCCCGGGAAGTGGCTCTCGGACACCACCCCCCACACTCCTTCCGCAGACCCTGACACAAAGACCAGGAAGCGAAGGGTAAGAGCTGCTTCTCATAGAGGAATGATGTGACCCAGCAGCCCAGCCTCCTCTGGCTCCAGCTCCAGGAAGTGGCAAGCCCCACCCTGAGCCTCCCAGTCCACACCTGCCCATCTGCATCCAGCCATCCTGTGCTGCGCTGTGCTGGGCCCATGTGTGAGAAAGCACTGGGAGTAGCAGGAGGGACCCAACATCTGGAGCCAGGCACCGCACAAGGCACCGCCCGAGGGCACCAGAGACTTCTGCCGTCACCTGACCAGGCTGCCAGGGAAGGGTGCCAGTGGCCCTGGCTGGTGACCTGGGTACTTCCGCTTACCTGTTGTGCCGCTTGTGAAACACACAATGGAGAGGTCACTGGGATTTGGGGGCTGCAGAGGTGAGAAGAGATGTGTGTTAAAGAGACCGGATGTGGCCAGCCAGGGACTAAGAGCCCTGGGCCCCTCCACCAGCCAGCCCCTCTGTGTACTGTGTGTCGGCACATCTGTGTGCCTGTGTCCTGCAAGCAGGCAAGTCCCCAGGAAAGGGGAAAAGAAGCTGGGGCATGGCCATCCACCTGTCCCACAACCACACGCCCGGTCCTGCTGCCTTGAGTCTGGGGTGAAATCTAGATGGAATGGGGCTGCAGTGGCCACATCTAAGCCTCAGCTAAAAATCTGACCTTTCGAGTGGATGAGACCCAGCTCCCTCCTTCCTTCCTACTTTCTCCCCAGTGGCTGCGGTTAGGCTTGAGAATGGAACGTATACCCCAGGGAACTAAGCTGCCCACGGTGCCACCAAGACTGCTCTGCATCAGGCCCTTGCCCTGGCACCGGGCACGGAGTCCTGGGCTCTCTGGGAAGAGTCCACTACAACTGCTTACACAGAGGATGGCTTTCCAGAGAAGGTGACATAAGTAGAGATTGAAAAACAAGCAAGATCTTTCCAGATGAAGGGAGGGTGAGGAACTAGCCCAAACAGGCAGAGGCATGAGAGGCCGGGGGGCTGTTCTTAGAGCAGCTCCCTATGGCTGGGCCACGATGGCTTCGAGGTGGGCACACACCAGGGGCTACTGGTGAAAGGTCCTGGGAAACGGGGCTGTGGCCTGCTTAGGCCTGTGGATGAGAAAGCTCATGGGTGCTGAAGGGAGTGGGGAGGCCTTTGTTGGAGGAGGGCTGGAGGCAGGAGGCCTTGTCAGAAAGCTGAAAACCCCTGAACAGCCCCTCCAGGGAGCAGCAAGTCTCACTGGTGATTTGACCCTAGGCAACATCACTGGGGATGACACAGAAAAGATGAACAAAGACAACAGAGGCCACTTGGCCACTCGGCCCCAGAGTCCACTACTGGTTCTATTGCTGCTTCTGTCCATCCCATCCTCTGGGGGGTTCACTACATTCAAAGGGAAAAGGAAGACGTCACAAGGGAAAAGTTCCTGTAGAACTAAGGGTGGCCAGGACTGGCTGCCCTTTCTTCCTCCTCCCAAACGTCGGATTCCTGTTCCAGGTCTCTGGGGACCCTCGCCCACAGAAGTCCTGGGCACTCCGAGTGGCACTTCCTGAGTTGCTCGAAAACGTTCCTTATTACCGCGGGGTTGCTGATCTGGCCTGTCTACTGAGCCCTGCGCACAGGCCCCACACACCATCCTGCTCAACCAAGACCTGCTGGCAGGTGAGCTCACCACAGGAACGTGAAGATTCTGTTGGCCGCACTCCTAGAGGAGGAAAATACTGATTTTAAGTGCTCAGAAGTTGTCATTGATAATAAAATAAATAAACAAACTGCACAGTATGCCTTGCTCCTGCACCAAGCCCTGGAGTTCAGGATTCTCTCCCTAGACAAGGCCCATTTCACCACCTCAGTGGCCTCTCCTCAGATACACATCCAGGCTTAGGCTACCTCCCCACATTACAGATGGGGCCTGAGGCCCAGGGAGAGGCCAGGCGCTGTGCACATGCACAGTGGGGCAGACAGCTTGAGGTGCCCATGGTACATCTAGACACATGCTCAGGACAGAGTGGCTGGGTGGGCTGGGCTTCCAGATTAGTCAGGCCTAGAGGGGTGGATAGGGGTTGCCAGCACAGGTATGGCCCCTAAGCCATGGAGGGTGCAAGTATACAGACATAGGTACAGTTAGGAGCAGGGAGAAAGGAGGGGAACTGGAGGGCCCAGGGGCCTAGATCCCATAGGGCAGAATTGGGTCAGCTGCTACTGCGCAGGGCCTGAGGCCCTGGAGGCCAGGATTTCCTGTGTTACTCCAGCAAGCACCAGCTGCCACCAACCTGATATCTTTGGGGAGGCCAAGCACAGAAAAACCGATTCTGCTGGTTGCTAGGGGTCTGGGACACATTTCAAGAACCTCTCCATGACACCTAGACCTCAGGTCTACAATCTTCAGGCTCAGGCAGACGATGGCTGTGGCTAGCTGGAAATGGGGAGACTGACACCACCACTCCCCTGGTGTGCCTGTGTCATTAACTGTGCCAGCCACTGAGCCCAGAGGATGCCTGTGGGCACTGACCCCACCAACCACCACCAGCCCCGTGCAGCCTGCTCTGTCTCAACCCTCACGTGGCTTAACAGCCCATGGCATCTACCTGAGGGGCAGGTAATTGGCAACTCTGGCTTGGTGGCCAAATGAAGGACCCAGGGGCCTAGATCCCATAGGGCAGAATTGGGCTCAGCTGCTACTGCACAGGGCCTGAGGGGAGTGGGGAGGCCTACACTGGCCCAGCAAACAGCTCAGACAGAAGCAGCCCTCACCTCCACAGCCTGCATGGACTTAATGACCACTCCGCACCCCTGCCCTCTGTCTTTCAGAGCTTCCTCAAACGGGTCCATGAGGATGATCATCTTGAGTCCTGGAATCGTCTTCCTCTCCACATGCTCCAGCAGGAGCTGGGCCTTCTGAGGTTTGTCCACTATCACGGTGCTGATGTCAGCTGCAGGGACCATCCAAGAGAGTCAGACTGTGACTGTGGGCCGGCAGCACATGCCGGGCACCAGAATCAGGGGCTATGGGTGCCACAGCTGGTGTGTAAGTAAATAGGCAAGACAGGCCCTCTGTCTTATGTGCATGGAGGCTGGATGGAGCCAAGGGCAGAAGGCCACGGCACCTCCTGGAGCGGTTTCCAAGCAGCCCTTTGCTGCTGGCTCAGCCCCTATCATGCCGGGTCAGCTTGAGATACTTACCACCACCAGCATCTGCCCGCAGCTGCAGTGACCCACAGAGGCGGGCAGCCCATGTGGGGGCTGGTGCAGAGGCTCCTTCTTGGCAGCTAGGCCCTGTGGAAGGAGCCTGGTGGTGAAGTCTAACTGGGGGCAGCTGGACTCAGGAAGCCACTCAGGGGCCAAGGTGGAAGCCCCTGGTGCTCTCTGAGAGTAGAAGCAAAACGCTTCTGATTAGTGTTAGACGACTGGCATAACCGGAGAGGCTGTGGCCAGGGGCTGGATGCCAGCGGCAGGGAGGGGCAGTGGTGGGCTCACCTGTGTTGATGATGTAGCGGATAGCCCCAGGGCCCAGGGTATCATAGAGCGGGACCACCACCATAGAATACGTGTAGCAGGCAAGCTCTGCGATGATCCACTGTGGAGACAGGTGGGTCGGGGGTGGGAGAACACAGAGCAGATAGGAAGGCTGTACTGCCCTGAAACCCTGGCAACCAGGGTCCTTGCTCTAGATCCTGAGATGAGAGGGCTCTTTTCTGGGCCCTCTGCATGTGGCAAGGAATCCGAGAGGCCAATGGGTTGTGCCTGCTCATGCACAGCCTTCTAGACCAGGGGTCCTCAAACTACGGCCCGCGGGCCACATGCGGCCCGCCGAAAACATTTATCCGGCTGACCGGGTGTTTTTGCCGCCGCTGTGTGCATAGGAATTTGTTCATAGTTTTTTTTTAAACTAGAGTCCGGCCACCCCAACGGTCTGAGGGACAGTGAACTGGCCCCTGTTTAAAAAGTCTGAGGACCCCTGTTCTAGACCATGCTTGCTCTAGGGAATTCTGGGACCCAAACAACCCCATGCCAATTTCCAGGGCTGGCATGGGCTTCTTCCCCAGGTTCTTCCTTTCCCCTGGCTCAGGGAGCAGCTGTGTGTTGGACTGGGTGGGGTGCGGATGGAGCTTGGCTGGGATGTCCATCCCTGAATAGGGACAAAGCCACGGGAGCAGGAGGGTGTGGCCCTACAAACAGTGGGAGCAGGGCCCAACCCCCTACTCCATCAATACTTTTAAAACCAGTCAAGGTCAATACTCACCTCTGGTCTATTTTGTGCAAAAACACCAATAAACTGATCTGTACATGCTTTACAATTGTGCTGGAGAAGTCCGGACCCTAGAAATTCAGCCCTGTTGGCCACCTGCACACGGATGTGGGGAAGAGATGAGAAAGCAAGGAGTCTTCAGCAGGGGAGGGAGACCCCCAGGGAGGACTCCTACAGGTTGAGAGACCTCCCCAACTCCCCACTCAGGTGACTGGCAGCCATGTGAGCTGCTGCCAGGAGTTTGGCAGACAGGCCAGGCAAGGAAAATATGACCTTCTGAGACCCAGCAGGGTGCCTGCAAGCCCCTCAAGTGCCAGGCCTGCACGGGCAGACAGAGTGGAGCCTGTCCTCTATCACTCACCTCCTGGTAGGACAGCCACTGATAAGGCTGCTTGGGCTTCCTGAAGCCAAGACACGGTCCATTCCCTGCAGAGAGAGAAACAGGCCTTGTGCAAAGGAGGAGGGTAGGGTGGAGGTGCCAGCAAACACCCAAATGGACACCCCATAGTGTGGGGTGGTCCATGGGCCAAATGAACTCCCCCCCACAGCTGCCTATCTGACCTGCTGAACCCCCAGAAGGCCTAAAGTACACAAGCATGGCATCACCCTGGGGATCAGGGAGGTCCAGGAATGGGGGCTGGCACAGGGCTGGTTCCCACCATGACCTGTGTGATGCAGCCCCAGAGAACATGGAGACCTGGGGCCACTGGGCAGAGGTGGCAGTTTGCCTCTCTGCAACCACCTCCCTTCGGCTCATACCCTGGGTCATCCAGACATCTCAGAGGCTTGGGTTCAGAATCATGCCCAGCCAGTGGCCTGGCGGTTCAAGGCTCCCCAGGGGCTGCCAATGGAAGATACAGAGTATGGGCTAAGCGACCGCCTAAGGTCAGTTAGTCCCGGGGCTGGAACAAAGCTGAGGTCAACCCTTTGGCCACATAATGCAGCTACTTCTCTGATTGGATGGGCAGAGGGCCAAGAGTGGCTTCTCTTCTCTGAACCTCAGCACCGTTCATCTGCCATACCCCTGGCACCATGCTGGCTTACCCCCACCTGCCGCAGCTCCTCCACACCCCAATGGTCCCTCTCACCTGAGATGCTAAGCCCACGACGGAACACCTGGTACATGGTCCTGGCATCATCGTAGTAGTGGGTGAGCAGCTGAGGGCCATCCCCAATCACGGATCGCCGGGCCCCACCACTGCCCTACAAGCCAAGCACAGGCCAGAGAAGCTGACTGAGGCAGGCAGAGGCTTGAGGAGAGGGCACCAGCACGCACCAGTCTGTACACAGCTTGGATACACACCCAGTTGGGGCTGGGACATGCTGTGTGCACTCATACACACTTGGACTGTATACACACAACCTATATACAAGTTCACGTACACATGGCTTGTACACACCTGACCTGTATGCACCCACACACAAACACAGGCTCATGCACACAGGCCCAGTACACCTCTCTCTCTCTCTCTCTCTCTCTCTCTCTCACACTCTCTCTCACACACACACACACACACACACACACAGAATCCACACACCAGGTCAGCATATACAAATGTCCAGAATTTCATTGGCTGCTCATACCACCTATGTTCCATTCATAAATGGAGCAGAGAGTGTTGGCTAGAGTTAGACAATCCCTGACTTCATGATCAAACCTGCCAAAGTATCCCCCTCAGCCCATCCATCATCTGCTGCTGCTATTCCCCTAGGTTAAGAATCATTTGAATGCCATCTGTCATTCACATAACAGTGAATTTTCTGAGGACTAGCTGAAGGTACTTTCCCAGGAACAGAGAGGCCCAGGAGGCTGTGGAGAGCACAGAGCAGTGAGGTCCTGGGAGAGGAGCTGGCCTCTTGTGCCTCCTCCCCTGCCACCCTGCCACCCCTCCTCAGACTCCCCAAACCCAGAACTCTTCAGTACCACAGCTCCATCTCTTCTCTAAGCACGATTTGGGCTCCATTGGGCTGACCCATGGCCCGCCATCTCTTGATACATCAGGTCTCAGGAAAAATGTCTGTGAGAGCCATAAAACAGCCAAACTCAAAAGCACAGGCAGTTCTCAACCATTTGGTAATGGAAAGTTCTGCTTGGTCGGTGTCTGCTTCCTGAGCACCAGGCCCACCGATGAGGGAAGCTGGGGACAAAAGCCATCAGACCTGGACAGCAATCAGGGTGACAAAAAGGACAGAGCAAGAGAGCATGCCAGGGACAGAAGAGGTTCAGGTGTGTGTGTCAGGGAACGGCTGCTGAGCTGGGTTTTGAAGGAGGCATAGGAGGCAGAATGAGGAGCAGGAAATGGTAGTCTTGCCAGACCAAGAGTAAGTGAAAATGCAAATGCAGGGGGCAGGAGACACAAGTGCATTTGGGAAACGGTGGGCAACTCGTGGAGCTCCAAGTGATAAATGGAGGCCAGAGAGACTGCAGATCAAGGCAAGGAGTCTGGCCTTTGGGTTGAGGGCAATGTGGAACCAGGGGAGGATTCTAAGGTGGGGTGAGTGACACGATCCAAATTATGTTTCTCACTCTGTAGCACACAGTAAATGCTACCGGGCCCTATATGATCTGGGCCCGCCTCACCTCATTTCCTACTTTCTCCTCTGCCTACTCCACTGCACCCACTCTGGCTTTCTGTGCTCCTGGGTGAGAGGCAAGGGAGGGCTCGGTCTTCCAGGAAGGGTGGCCTTCCACACACTGTGCCCATGTGGGCCCCCCACACTGAGCCAGGGCCACTCCCCATCCAGACCCTATCCAGAGCACTGTCACCTCCAGCCCAGACACCCCACTTGCCTCCTCACACCTGCCTTTGCCACAGTTACCCTTCCACGGCACAAACTGTCCCTACTACTGAAGACCCAAAATAAGTCCATGATGCCCCCCCTCCCAGGTCCCTGCCCAGTTCATGTGGCTGTGGCTTTGTTGGCCTGTCCAGGTGAGTTGTCATTCTAAACTTACCCAAAACAACTCGTTTTAGTGCTTCCTCTGTATCATCTCAGCAAATCCTACCACAGCCTCAGGAAGCAGTGCTCTTTTTATTACTGTGGCGGAAGCTGAGGCCCGAGAGTTAACACGCTGCCAAGACCATATGGCTCGTGGGAGGTACAGTCAGCCTTCAAACCCAAGGTCACCAAAGGCCATTCTTGTCATCACTCGGCTAGCCCATCCACAGCCTCTCTCCACTGCCCAGCCACCCCATAAGAATCACCACTTCCCACAGCCCACACCTGCATTATCACACACCTGTACCTTTGCACACATCGTTCTTTCTGCTAGAAAGTGCCCAGAAGTCCCGGCCGTATCTCTGTGCCCCCCCCCCCCCCCCCACACCTGGCAGAACTCTGTAATGTTTATGCTCACCAAGATGTACCATCAAGAGAAAAAAGCCAGTGGATGCAGCATGATATCATTAAAAAGGGAGTGGATACCTACACATTCTCTCACGGACAATTGTTAACATGGTTCTCAGGAGAGGAGAACTGGGAGGCTAGGGGAAGACGGGGAAAGCTTTTCAGTTTGTGTCTCTTTGTTCCTCTTGAACTGTGTGAATATCTTATCTATTCAAAATGTATAGAGTTAAAGTTCAGACAAAAAAGGCAAATTTTTAAAGGCAAAATAAATCCCATAAACTTAATAGAAAAATAAATATCACTGGTCCTTCTGGACTGAGCTTAGAACACCCTTGTCCAGGGTAGGCCACTGCACCTTCCTTATCTTGTGTGACCCGGGAGGGCAGGGTGCTGGGGTGGGCTCAGCTCTGGGTCATAGCAGCAGACCAGGGCTGGGCACAGGGAGAGTCTGGAAGGGAACTGGCCTGCCAGCCACCTGAGAACTTGCTTAGGTCTCCTACTGAGGCACCAATGAGCCAAGGCCCCTATTCAAGAAGCCAAGGCAAAGTAGAAGCCGAGGTCAAGGCTCTGCCCAGGGCTGAACGTCTGGGAGAGGCAGAGGAGCATCTAGTAGGAGACGCTGCCCAAGGCCAATGGGGCTTGCTGGCTGGCTACCAGGGGAAATCAAGATTCTCTGAGCCATCTCAGGTCCAATAAGCCACAATTTTGGCTTCTACCTTTGAGATGTCTGTCCTCTGCCCACTATTTTCCACAGCTGACTGCTGGAACCCTGCTCACCTCCACTTCCTCTGACTGCATCAGGAGGTTGCACGGTGGTTGCAAGGCCTTGGGCCGGTGAGTGAACCAGTAGGCAAGGATGGCGGCCAGGGCGCCCATGCTCATGAGGGTGGTGGCTGAAAGACTGTGGAAGAACTGGCCCAAGTCGCCCAGCTCAGACAGCCGCAGCATCCTCAGAATCTCTTGTGTCTGCATCTTCTCCAGAAGCAAGAGAATGAACTCTGCAGGAAACAAGAGGCGGGTGAGGGAGAAGGCCTGGGTGTGTCCTCCCACCTGTCTTGGATCACAAGTGACACAATGATCTTGGCCAAATACACTGTGGGGCCGGCCCTGGGCTAGTGGCGTGTACAGGCTCCTGGGGCAGCACAGTATATCCAGAAGCTGGATGCCTGGAAGGCGACAGGCCGGAACACTTAGCAGTCACACCTGATAGTCAGTCATCCAGCCAGTTTTCCTGAGAACCATATGCTCAGGCCCTGGGGCACGACTGATAGCTGCTTCCATATCTTCCAGGGGTTCTAACAGCTCTGGAGTCAAAACTTCCTGAGCCCGGGGGCCCAGGTGCTCTGCCTCTGCTGTGTGGTGACAGTGTTTTGCTTATCTTTGCTCCTGGGGTGTAGAGAGAGCAGATGGCTGTGAGTACACCTGGTATAGTGCCCAGATTGAAGGGGTACAGAGTCCTAGCCCCAGGCCCTGATCTGAGGAAGACAGAGAAGACAAGGCCCAGAGCCCCCAGACTAGCCCTGACACCTACCTGCCAAGGGTCCTATAGGTGACAAAATGGGGTCTCGCCGGGACCACGCCCTGGCCCAAAGACCTACCAGGGCCAGAGGTAATGCTGGCACCCAGCATCATGAGAAGCTGGGGTGGGGCCCAGCCACTGCTCTGCTAGCCCCAGGCTGCTGACCACTGTGCACTGTGGCTCTGTACTACCCTAGAGCAAGCACCAGGAGGCACAGCTGTCCCCACCTGTGCTGTCCTCCCTGGGATCCCATCAGCTAATGTTCAGAGGAAAAAAGAGGTGACAGAGAGGTGCAGTTGCATGACATCTACAGGTCTGCCAGCCCTATGAGGCCTAGCAGGGGTTGGGGCAGGGGGCGGTGCAGGGGGCGAGGGGAGGGAGGAGGTGGCTCCAGGCTGCCATGCACCATCCACAGGCACCCTCTGCATTGTCCCTTGACCTTTGGAAGCATGGCTGTGGTTTCCCTTCTTGGGAAACAATAAGAAACCCAGCAGCCACTCTGCAGCCAGGGGATACGAGCCAAACAGCAATTGCTTGACTCATGAGGGAGCAGAGATCTGCTGAACACCAATAAATGGTATTTGTACTAAATGGTAACATCACCACACCAGAGATGAAGTCAGTGATGTGCAAAGTCATTGCAGAGAGAGTAAAGTTCCTCGGTTCAAATCCCTCCTCCTTCACTTAGAACAGTGGTTCTCAACCTTCCTAATGCCGCGGCCCTTTAATACAGTTCCTCATGTTGTGGTGACCCCCAACCATAAAATTATTTTCGTTGCTACTTCATAACTGTAATTTTGCTACTGTTGTGAATCGTAATGTAAACATCTGATATGCAGGATGTATTTTCATTGTTACAAATTAAACATAAAGCATAGTATTAATCACAAAAACAATATGTAATTATATATGTGTTTTCCGATGGTCTTAGGCGACCCCTGTGAAAAAGTTGTTCGACCCCCAAAGGGGTTGTGACCCACAGGTTGAGAACCGCTGACTTAGAAGCTACGCAAGGTTGAGCATATTCTACCTCTCTGGACCTCCACTTCCCCTTCTTTAAAATAGGGTAGGATCACTCAGGCATGTCAAGTTCCTTATACTGTATCTGGCATAGTTAGAGACATGCTGGGACTAAAGAGATGGCTAAGGGGTTGCTTGTCAGACCAAGGAGGCTGCTCAGCCAGGCTGGTCCAAGCACTGGGCAGAGGTGGCTGGGCCCAGGCACTGTGGCCCCACAGGAGCTTATGCTCTACTGATGGTACAGTGGCTGTCTGAATCCTGGGTGCCCAGAGGCTCTGGGTGCTCCTAGAGAGCAGAGAAAGTGAGCCCCTAGCCAGCCAGAGCATCTCTCTGAATTCCTGAGCCAGAAATCCAGTTTTACCAGCAGCCTCCTTGAGCTAGATCAGTTCTGAGGATTGAACCGCTCCTGGCATATGATCAAATCAAGGTTCTTCATCTGCAAAGCAGAGGCTCAGCTATGGACCACAGTGAATTCATCAAGGCAAACTGCTCTGCAGAGGGTCCTGACCAGTTGGCCACCTTGCTTCCTTGGGACATTTACTTCCTTAAGATGCAGATGAAGAGACCAAGTCACAGCCAGGCCCATCAGATATCCCACAAGCACTCGGGTCGGACGCTGAGCTGATTGACGTTTTACCTAATGGGCGAAACTAACTCAGTGGGCTGGGAAGCCAAGCCCCAAGAAGTCCCTGCCAAGCCCCTAAAAGCTCAGCTATTTGGTTCCAAAAGTTTAGAGAAAATCCTGGAACCTCTCTATCACCAGTCCCTGGGCCTTGTCAGTTGCTCACAGGCTCTAAGCTATAATTGAACATGGGCATTTGTGGCATCTGCTACAATGCTGGGGTTTTCACAGAGTACAGCCCACAATGGCCAAAGCCATCCATCCATCCATTCATCCATCCATCCATCCATCCATTGTCCATACCCTCTTTCACCTACCCACTCACCACCCATCCACCCACTCACTCATCAATCCACCCACCCACCCACCCATCCATCTACCCACTCACACCCATCCACCTACCCATCCATTCATCCACCTACCCATTCACCCATTCATCCACTCACCTACCCACCCATCCATTTCCCCACCTACCTCCCATCCACTTATTCACCTACCCACTTACCTACCCATCTACCCATCCATCCACTCACCCACCCATGCATTCACCTAGAGGTCCGCACTCTCATCTAGCTCAGTGTTAGGCACTGGGATAAGCCAGATGTGGGCCTGCTTTCAGTCCCCTGGGGAAGATACATGAGGAAGCGGACAGTGCTATGCAGTTGATTTGGGCTGTGATCAGGCATGAAGAGCCAGAGGAGGTGCCCAGTTCAGGTGTAGGGGCTCACAGCAGGCTTTTGGCCAAGACAGAAGGATCAAAAGAGAAGGGTGTCCTAAGCAGAGGGAAGCAAATATACAAAGGCTGGAGTTGAGAGAGTTCATTGAACACTTAGCAAACTCAATCTTCTATTCAGGAAAAAGTCCTGAACACATGAAATCTTATACAAGGGTCAATGCCACAAGTCTGAAGCTGGTCTCCCAGATGTACTGAGCTTTCACCAAAGAGTGACAGTCCCCAGGAGAGGGAACAGAACTTGTCTAAACTTCCTGAATTCCTAGGGCTTGGGAAGCCCTTGCCTATACACTGCACTGTTGGATCCTCACAACAGCTCCCTGGACTTATTATAAAGTGGGGAACACAGAGACTCCATTGAAGAAATTACCTACCATTTACAGGTACACAGTCAGCGAGTGAGGGAGCCAGGACTCGAGCCCCAGATAACAGCCTCCCAAACCACTGCCTTGCACTGTACTGCCACCCCTCCCCTGCCAACACTGCACCGTCCATACCCACAACCCATGCTCTCCTTTGCAGTGGTGCTGAACCAACAAAAACCCAGCTCCAGTTCTGCTCAGAAGAGCCCAGGCCCAGGCTGTAGAAGGCAGGGGGCCGCACTGGGCCACCAGAGCCTGTAAGTAGGACCAAGCCGGTTAGGCCAGTCACTGTCCTTTGGCATGCGCACTCTGTGGGTGGGCTCCCTTCTGGCCTCACATCAAGAACTTGCTGTCTTCTCAAGGCTGGGTCCTTCTCCCCCCAGCCCACTCACCTGGGGTGATGGCAGGTGATGGAAAGGGCTTGGCCACCCACTCTTCCCCGGGCTCTTACTTAGTACCTACCACTAAGGAGGTCTCCAGGTGGCGGCAGCTCCTCTACCCAGAGGCTGGCCTTGTACCGCTCTTTGGCTGGGCAGTGACCAGAGGGTGTCATTCTTCCAGGCTCACTTGTCTTCTCAGACACAGTCGCAACTGCTTGCATTTACCCTGAGATTCCCTTCAGACCTGGGAGCTATTGTTGGGCAGAACTGAAAATTCATGTCCTCTAACGACATGGGCCTCAGAGCCAGCCTGAGCCACCAAGCCGTTGGCAAGGGGTAGGGCAAACCTAGGCCTGGGAGTCTGGTCTCATCTCATTACATCACAGGGCCTTTGCCTCCTCCGACCTCCACACCCTCTCTGCCCACCTGGGGTGGGGTTTGGTGGTCCCTGGGGTCCAGCCATGGCTGCCTCCTTCCATGCCCAGAAGGGGATCCTGGTTGCAGCAGCCTGGGGCATGGGGTTGGGGGGGCACCCAAGGGACCCTCAGTAGTGCTGGTGTTGCCAAGTGAGCGGCTGTGAGTGTTTGTAAATATTTACCTGGCAGGAGAACCCAGCCCTAGGTAGGAACTAGCCTCCTCTTCTACAACACAGACGAGTCCAAAAACCAAGTGGTGTTAACAGGTTGGGGGGACCTAGGACTCCCCCACTCACCATGTCCTCTGCTGACTCAGGGCACATGGAAGGTGGGTGGTGAAGTCGTAGCTCTCAAAATCCAGGGAGGGAGGGAATGGGAAGAAGGGGGCCCTGGCAGGAAGTATGGTGGCTCCAAGGTGTCAGAGTGATGGAGGCAAAGCCCCACTCAGAGCACCTCCCTGTGGAGATGGCCCTGCGGCCCATGGCTGGGCTTCAAGAACCCTCTGCTGGTCTAGCCTTCTAAGCCCAACACTCTAGACCTCATAATCTAGCTCAATGGCTCCATAAGCACTACCTCCTAAACCTCTCAAACTGACCATTCTCTCCACCCCCATAGCCCCTGCCTGGTGCAGCCACCACTGAGCACAGTCCAGACTCCCGCACCAGCCTCCTCACCCATCTCCTGGCTCTGATCAGTGCTTACACCGATACCAAAGTTACTTCCCCAATACACAGATGTGATCCTATCACACTTCTGCTCGAAAACCTCATCTGGCTCTCCACTGCAATAGGACAAAAGTCCTAACTCCTCATGCTGGCACTGAGACCCTCCATGATCCTCAGATTCTTCCCTCCGCTTAGAATCACCCCAACTTCATCTCTGTGTCAGCCTACAGTGGAGAGGGGTATTGTGACGCAGCCCAGGGTTTCTGAAAACCTCTGAGGCC